CCCTCTCTCTCACTCTGAGTCGTCATCTCTCTCTCTGAGTCGTCCTCTCTCTCTCACTCTGAGTCGTCCTCTCTCTCTGAGTCGTCTTCTCTCTCTCTGAGTCGTCCTCTCTCTCTCTGAGTCGTCCTCTCTCTCTGAGTCGTCCTCTCTCTCTGAGTCGTCCTCTCTCTCTCTCTGAGTCGTCCTCTCTCTCTCTCTGAGTCGTCCTCGCTCTCTCTGTTCGTCCTCTCTCTCTGAGTCGTCCCGTGCGGCCGTGGCGCAGCGTTGCAACCTGCGACTAATTATTATCATCGGCACACTTCGTCGACCTCATCTCGCGTCTAATCACTTGGGCTCCTTCTCTCCTCCCGTCCCACCCGCTCCCCTCCTGCTCCCTCTTACCCCCCCCACCACCACCACTACCCCCTTGCCCCCCGCGCCCTGCGCAGTGCGAGGCGAGGCCGCTGGACGCCCGCTGGAGGCTGTGCTGAGGCTGCAGACGCTGCAGGGCGGCTGGTGCTGGGTGCTGGTGTCCGGCGCGAGGCTCAGCGAGCAGCTGCCGCTCGTCCAGTGCTGCAACCGCGTGCTCAGGTGAAGCCTCCCGGGGTGAAGTCATCTCAAAGGGCAAAGGGGGCGACACCCCGTGCCCCTAGCCCCCCCCCCTCCCCCCTCGTAAAGCCGCCCGGTCCTGAGCTCGCGGAAGCTCACGGTTCCACCCCAAGACCGCATCCCGATGCACCAGTGGAAAACGTTGGATCGCGTAAACATATCAATGTGTCGTTAAACCCGCCACCACCCGACGCGGGCAACTAGTGAGTGTTGTCACGTAGGCAGAACGTGGCCAATTCGTCGCTAGTACAGCAACACCGGTATGTTGGAGAGCCAAGCCACAACATTTACAATCCGAGTACGACGTTTCGCCAGTAATTACAACCAGCTCCATCAGGCGGACAGCCAGATTTGTGGAGAAGTCCACCCGTTTGGTTCCTTATGTAGAGGCATAGATGTGGATGTCGACAGTGGTGGTGCGACTGCGGCGGTCATCCAGAGCAGACACCGGACGACGCACCGATCCGCAAATACGGAGGAGAGACATCACCGCAGCGATGGCGATTCACGAACTCCGCCGCTTGTTCCGGCTGACGGGGTTACCTGCGGCTTGACCAACAAGAATGTGACAATCTTGATTTTAAGCTTTCGTGACTGCAGGAATCAATACTCTTTGGTTCTTTCGGTAAAGTAAGAATGTGACAATGGAGCTGTTGCTCTGCATCCACATAGGCAGGCGTACGGCAAGGAAGAACGCTCACGCACAGAGACAAACACGGACACGCTCACCAAACCTTACCACCCACTCACCAACCTTGCCACCCACTCACCAACCTTACCACCCACTCACTCACCAACCTTACCACCCACTCAGGAAACCTTACCATCCACCCACTCACCAACCTTACCACCTACCCACTCACCAACCTTACCACCCACCCACTCACCAACCTTACCACCCACTCAGGAAACCTTACCATCCACCCACTCACCAAACCTTACCACCCACTCACCAACCTTACCACCCACTCACCAACCTTACCACCCACTCACCAAACCTTACCACCCACTCACCAACCTTACCACCCACTCACCAACCTTACCACCCACTCACCCAACCTTACCACCCACTCACCAACCTTACCACCCACTCACTCACCAACCTTACCACCCACTCAGGAAACCTTACCATCCACCCACTCACCAACCTTACCACCTACCCACTCACCAACCTTACCACCCACCCACTCACCAACCTTACCACCCACTCAGGAAACCTTACCATCCACCCACTCACCAATCTTACCACCTACCCACTCACCAACCTTACCACCCACTCACCAACCTTACCACCCACCCACTCACCAACCTTACCACCCACTCACCAAACCTTACCACCCACTCACCAACCTTACCACCCACTCACCAACCTTACCACCCACTCACCAACCTTACCACCCACCCATTTACCAAACTTTACCACCCACTCACTCACCAAACCTTACCACCCACTCACCAACCTTACCACCCACTCACCAACCTTGCCACCCAGTCACCAAACTTTACCACCCACTCACCAACCTTACCACCCACTCACCAACCTTACCACCCACTCACCAACCTTACCACCCACTCACCAACCTTACCACCCACTCACCAACCTTACCACCCACCCATTCACCAAACTTTACCACCCACTCACTCACCAAACCTTACCACCCACTCACCAACCTTACCACCCACTCACCAACCTTACCACCCACTCACCAACCTTACCACCCACTCACCAACCTTACCACCCACTCACCAAACCTTACCACCCACTCACCAACCTTACCACCCACTCACCAACCTTACCACCCACTCACCAAACCTTATCACCCACTCACCAACCTTACCACCCACTCACCAACCTTACCACCCACTCACCAAACCTTACCACCCACTCACCAACCTTACCACCCACTCACCAACCTTACCACCCACTCACCAACCTTACCACCCACTCACCAACCTTACCACCCACTCACCAACCTTACCACTCACTCACCAACCTTACCACCCACTCACCAACCTTACCACCCACTCACCAACCTTACCACCCACTCACCAACCTTACCACCCACTCACCAACCTTACCACCCACTCACCAACCTTATACCACGCACGACCTCCGCACCCACCCACCCGTGTAGCCTCAGCGGGCTCCTGGGGCAAGTCGCTGTTGGCGAGTGGCACCGTCAGGGGCGCGGGGGGGGGGAGCAGGACACACGGCGTGGTGGGTGGCTGAGGCCAGCGCAACGCCCCGGCCCGGCCGCCTTTGTCTCCCTTAGGTGCTGATATTTACAACACCGTTCCAGGCGAGCATTTTAAGGCTGAGTCGAGCTACGAGGCTGGCCTCGGGAACCGGTTCAGATAGTCGCCACCGTTGTTGTTGTCGTTGTTGTCGTTGTTGTTGTTGTCGTTGTTGTTGTTGTCGTTGTTGTCGTTGTTGTTGTTGTCGTTGTTGTTGTTGTCGTTGTTGTTGTCGTTGTTGTTGTTGTCGTTGTTGTTGTTGTCGTTGTTGTTGTTGTTATTGTTGTTGTTGGCGTTGTTGTTGTTGTCGTTGTTGTTGTCGTTGTTGTTGTCGTTGTTGTTGTCGTTGTTGTTGGCGTCGTTGTTGTTGTCGTTGTTGTTGTCGTTGTTGTTGTCGTTGTTGGCGTTGTTGTTGTCGTTGTTGTTGTTGGCGTTGTTGTTGTTGTCGTTGTTGTTGTCGTTGTTGTCGTTGTCGTTGTTGTTGTTGTTGTCGTTGTTGTTGTCGTTGTTGTTGTTGGCGTTGTTGTTGTTGTCGTTGTTGTTGTCGTTGTTGTCGTTGTTGTTGTCGTTGTTGTTGTTGTCGTTGTTGTCGTTGTCGTTGTTGTCGTTGTTGTTGTCGTTGTTGTTGTTGGCGTTGTTGTTGTTGGCGTTGTTGTCGTTGTTGGCGTTGTTGTTGTCGTTGTTGTTGTCGTTGTTGTTGTCGTTGTTGTTGGCGTCGTTGTTGTTGTCGTTGTTGTTGTCGTTGTTGTTGTCGTTGTTGGCGTTGTTGTTGTCGTTGTTGTTGTTGGCGTTGTTGTTGTTGTCGTTGTTGTTGTCGTTGTTGTCGTTGTCGTTGTTGTTGTTGTTGTCGTTGTTGTTGTTGGCGTTGTTGTTGTTGTCGTTGTTGTTGTCGTTGTTGTTGTCGTTGTTGTTGTTGTCGTTGTTGTCGTTGTCGTTGTTGTCGTTGTTGTTGTCGTTGTTGTTGTTGGCGTTGTTGTTGTTGGCGTTGTTGTCGTTGTTGTTGTCGTTGGCGGTCGTGAGCGGGGATCGAACAGTCGGGGTCGCCGGGTCTGTAGCGCGGCGCGCTAACCACTGCGCCACCGCTCCCCCCAAACGACGTGCGTGTATGTACGCGGAACTTCTTTCGCACCGCACGTAGCCCACCGTGCTAATCGGTTGCCAATGTACGCGTGCGTGTGCCCGCTTATTTTAGCGATGCCGAAGCCAAGTTCATGATCCAGCAGCTGCATGAGCGGAGGGCTCTGACGGAGGGAGATGCGAGCGGGCGATCGGCCCCTCGCCTCCCCGCCCCTCCAGCCTCAACTCCAAGTCGCCTCGCAGATCCAACCCCGCTGCAGCTCGTGGACTCGACAAAGCAACGTCATCGACATCACCATCAATACCTTCATCCTCGCTGCCATGACGACGGAGGTCATGAAGCAAGTGTCGGTTGCTCAATTGAACTCCGTAGTCATGACAACCAGCAGCAGCAGCAACAGCATCATCAGCAGCAGCACCACCAACATCATCAGCAGCAGCAACAGCAGCATCAGTACCAACAGCAGCAGCAGCAGCCGCAGCAGCATCATCAGGACCAACATCATCAGCAGCAGCAGCAGCAACAGCATCATCAGCGGCAGCAACATCAGCATCATCAGGACCGACATCATCAGCAGCAACATCAGCAGCATCAGGGCCAACATCATCATCAGCAACTTGTGCAGTGGTCGTGCACGACTGGCACGAAACGTGGGGCGGAGCGCGAGCAGCCGGATGATGAAGAGGTCGTGGCGGGGGCGAAGCGGGCGAGGTTGCAGCATCATCATCAGCATCATCAGCAGCACGATTCTTCCGAGCATCATCATCAGCATCATCATCAGCAGCAGGAGCACGATTCTTCCGAGCATCATCATCAGCATCATCATCATCAGCAGCAGCAAGATTCATCCAAGCAGCATCATCATGAGCATCATCAGCAGCAGCAAGATTCATCCGAGCAGCATCAGCATCATCAGCAGCAGCAAGTTTCATCCAAGCAGCATCATCATCAGCATCATCATCATCAGCAGCAGCAAGATTCATCCGAGCAGCATCAGCATCATCAGCAACAGCAAGATTCATCCAAGCAGCATCATCATCAGCATCATCATCAGCAGCAAGATTCATCCGAGCAGCATCATCATCAGCAGCATCATCATCATCATCAGCAGCAGCAGCAAGTGGCGCTGCTGCAGCTGGGGGTGGTGGTGTCGCCCCCTCCGCCGGCGGGCGACGTCTCCCCTCTCTGCACGCCCCCCTACACCCCCGGGGGACGACTCTCGCGATTCTTCGGTGCCGGCTCCCCCCCGGCTCCTCCGACAACCGACGTCACGACCACCACCTCTTCCACCACCTCCTCCACCACCACCACCTCCTCTTGTCTCGCCGATGTGTACGGAGAGTCCGACGCGAAGAGCCGTCCTTTTTCATCATCATCGTCATCGTCGTCGTCGATGACCAACGGCTTCGTCTACGACGTCCTCCCTCCCACACCCGAGAGCCCCGCGCACCAAGAGCCGAGTTGGATTCCCGGCACGGCCGCCGCGTTTGAGGACGCGCAGTGGCCGCGCGTCCTCGCCGCGGCCTCAGAGGTCAAACTCTGCCACAGCCACCACCACAACCACCACCACCACAACCGGCACAACCACCACCACCGCCGCGTGGTCTACATGCCCGGCGAGAAGGAGCGCATCAACGTCATATTCGAGCAGATCAGCCGGATGGCCGAGAGCTTCGAAGGGTGCAGGACGGGCACGTCGTCGACATCTTCGTCGTCATCTTCGTCATCATCGTCATCTTCGTCGTGGTCTCCGTCGCTCGATTACTCCAACTGGAGAGGCGACGCGTGGACTCCTGGCGTCAGCGAGTGGACACCACCGCCTTCGGACGGAGAAGGATCGTCCACCACCACCGCCAACTTCCTCCAGGAGAACACCATCGAGAAGATCCTGCAGGAGGCCATGAGCGACGAGGAGGAGGTCCAAGACGACGAAGAGGTGGTGGTGGAGAAGGAGGAGCAGGAGGAGGTGGACGAGGCAGAGCGAGAGAAGAGGGCCCGCGGATTGAGCCGGCAGGCCGCGGGTGGCGAGGTCTCGGTGGACCTGGCGGAGGTCAGTGGCCGGGCGGCCCAGGAGCTGCAGGTGCTGTTCGAGACTCTGGAGGAGCTCTTTGCAGGCTGGGGCGGAGACCCTGAGGGGCCCCCGAGCGAGTTGCATCAACTCAACGCGCCCGACGTCGTTTGCGGCGCACACCCAGGTAGGCAACTCCCAGGTGGGCAACTCACAGGTGGGCAACACCCAGGTGGGCAACTCCCGGGTGGGCAACTCCCAGGTGGGCAACTCCCAGGTGGGCAACTCCCAGGTGGGCAACTCACAGGTGGGCAACTCCCAGGTGGGCAACTCCCAGGTGGGCATCTCCCAGGTGGGAAACTCCCAGGTGGGCAACTCCCAGGTGGGCAACTCCCGGGTGGGCAACTCCCAGGTGGGCAACTCCCAGGTGGGCAACTCCCGGGTAGGCAACTCCCAGGTGGGCAACTCCCGGGTGGGCAACTCCCAGGTGGGCAACTCCCAGGTGGGAAACTCCCAGGTGGGCAACTCACAGATGGGCAACTCCCAGGTGGGCTCTGTAGGATGAACGTTGAGATTTATAAGGGTCACGGGGTGACCAATAAGGTCTGAATTGGTCTGTAATAAGGTAGGCAGGCGCTGATAAGGGCTTGACAGCTACGGGGATAATCCACTCGCTCGCCGCAACCTTTGCTCACCACACTCGCGTTCTCTCCTTGCAGATGGGCGAGGAGGGAGCAGCCCCTTCTACACGTGAACATAAGTCTGTGACTTACCTGCATCCGTATGGCATATTGTCATCGCGCAAGAGTCGGCGGACAACAAGCAGCACGGCTTGACACAGTCTCTCTGGCGTCAGGCCCTTGTCCTCCCCCCACTATCCCCCCCCCACTATTCCCCCCACCATCCCCCCCACCACCCCCACCATCCCCTCCACCATCCCCCACCGCCCCCCACCATCCCCCCACCACCCCCAAACCCCCCACCCACCATCCCCCCCCCCACCATCACCACCACCCCCCCCCTGCGCTTTTTCAGCAGCGCATTTGCCGGGGGGGGGGGCGTGAAACATTCCCACGTCGTCGTCGTCGTCGTCATAAAATATTGAAAAACATTTTTTTTAAAGAAAAGTATTCTCTCCACGTGCAACGCAAAGTTGTGTTGTTAATCGTGCGGTTGTGCACACACACACACGGCTGTACACACACACACACGGCTGTACACACACACACACGGCTGTACACACACACACACGGCTGTACACACACACGGCTGTACACACACACACGGCTGTACACACACACACGGCTGTACACACACACACACGGCTGTACACACACACACACGGCTGTACACACACACACACGGCTGTACACACACACACACACGGCTGTACACACACACACACACGGCTGTACACACACACACACACGGCTGTACACACACACAGACACACGGCTGTACACACACACACACACGGCTGTACACACACACACACGGCTGTACACACACACACACGGCTGTACACACACACACACGGCTGTACACACACACACACACACGGCTGTACACACACACACACACGGCTGTACACACACACACACACGGCTGTACACACACACACGACTGTACACACACACACACGGCTGTACACACACACACACACGGCTGTACACACACACAGACACACGGCTGTACACACACACACACACGGCTGTACACACACACACGGCTGTACACACACACACGGCTGTACACACACACACGGCTGTACACACACACACACGGCTGTACACACACACACACGGCTGTACACACACACGGCTGTACACACACACACGGCTGTACACACACACACACACGGCTGTACACACACACACGACTGTACACACACACACTGCTGTACACACACACACGGTTGTGCACACACACACACGGCTGTACACACACACACGGCTGTACACACACACACACGGCTGTACACACACACACACACGGCTGTGCACGCACACGGCTGTACACACACACGGCTGTACACACACACGGCTGTACACGCACACACACACGGCTGTACACACACACACACGGCTGTACACACACACACACGGCTGTACACGCACACACACACGGCTGTACACGCACACACACGGCTGTACACACACACACGGCTGTACACACACACACACATCTGTACACACACACACACGGCTGTACACACACACACGGCTGTACACACACACACGGCTGTAACTGCGGCAAGCCCCTCACTTTAACGCGCTAGTGCGGTAGATGCGTTCCTAAAAAGTGTCCGCGCTGAGCGGAAACAAAACCGATGTCCACGTGAATAATCCGGTGACGGTCAAGTGTGGTGAGGTACCACGGACTGCGACTACACACACCGCGCAGTGAGATGGCGGTAGACATAACGGAGGGACGCCGCCCCCGCCGCCGCGTTACCGTACCATTCCTCGTTACCGTGCCATTCCTCGTTACCGTGCCATTCCTCGTTACCGTGTCACTGCATCGCTCAGCCGCGCAGCTCCAGAAAGTAGTTTCGTCGGCGACCGCTCGGAAGCCGCGTTGTAACGGTGTGTTCCACCTTATATCGGTGTGCGTTGTAAGGGCTCGCGTTGTAACAGTGCGCCTTCCGCGTTATAACGGTGCACGTTCCGCGTTATAATGTTCCGCGTTATAATGTTCCGCCTTGTAACGGCGCTCGTTATAACGGCGCGCGTTCCGCGTTGTGTTCCTGAACGGAAGAACCGCCTCTGTAGCGAACGACACGAAGTGCGAACACGGCCACGCGTTCAGCGAGGACTCGCCGTACAGACGCCCCACTCATACCGCGGGGAATGTTTTACTGCTGCTGTAATTGACGCTGCTGCGTTGGACGTGGCACACAGACTGAAGAACCAGATAGTCAACATGCTCGTCAATAACACCTTGGCCTTGAAAGGAATGTGTGTTTATGTTTTTATATATATACAGGGACTCATCTACTTACACACGAGTTAGGTTCCAGAAGTCTGTTCGTAAGTCGATTCCAAACTTGTTGTACGGCATGTACACTAAACACGGGGAATGGCTTTAAAAGTTGTATAATCTCATGTAGATGTGGATGCCACTGGTTCTTCGCGTTCTGCATATGTAGATGTCACTGGTTCTTCTTGTTATGTAGATGCCACTGGTTCTTCATGTTCTGTAGAAGTAGATGCCACTGGTTCTTCACGTTCTGTAGATGTAGATACCACTGGTTCTTCACGTTCTGCAGATGTAGATGCCACTGGTTCTTCACGTTCTACAGATGTAGATGCCACTGGTTCTTCACGTTCTGTAGATGTAGATGCCACTGGTTCTTCATGTTCTACAGATGTAGATGCCACTGGTTCTTCATGTTCTGCAGATGTAGATGCCACTGGTTCTTCACGTTTTGCAGATGTAGATGCCACTGGTTCTTCATGTTCTGTAGATGTAGATGCCACTGGTTCTTCACGTTCTGCAGATGTAGATGCCACTGGTTCTTCATGTTCTGTAGATGCCACTGGTTCTTCACGTTATGTAGATGCCACTGGTTCTTCACGTTCTGCAGATGCAGACGCCATCACCGCCATCGATTTCGTGGCGGTTGAACTTACGACTCTCGATCTGAACCAGGCAACTGGACACACAGATCAGGTTCGTTCGTATCTCTGAAAGTTCGCAAGTCGAATGTTCGTAAATAGAGAAGGGGTTCCCTGTATAAAATAGGCGATGGCCTTTGTAATTGACTCCACGTTTTGAGTTATTTTTCATATAAAAGGGAGAATATGACAGATCAACATAACGCTATTGTAAAGCCTCTAACACGTCTCTGGCCACCGATCCCAATCGCATAAACGCGTTCACATCCCCTCTTAACTCTTCCCCTCTATATAGGCCGGCACTTTCACAATGCAGTACAGTACCGTACTCAATCGGCTATTGAAAAGAAAGAGGGTTGCATTACAAATCAGTGAGGTATATATCGATAAGCGGATCACGATTGTACATTGTCGGTTGTGTTGTTTATTGTAGAGGTACGGATTCGTGTTGGTACTTGTGCAGCGACGTTGGCGTTCATCGCGTGGCTGCCTAACTTTGAAGAGAAGACGGTATCCGTGTGTGTGTGTGTCTTCAGCGCATCTCTCGTGTGTGTGTATGTGTGGGGTGCGATGTTTTAGCAGGATAGTCGAGCGCTCAGCGCGCTGAGCCTACGAACCCGGCGACCCGAGTTCGTGTTCCACGGCCACCAGCAACCGGTGACGATTATCTGAACCGGTCCTGAGACTCCCCTAGGTCGACTCGGCCTCAAATGAGTACCTGGTGCGGTGTGTAAACATCGCGAATGTGGGGAGACAAAGGCGGCCGGGCGGGCGTGGTTGCTGGCCACCCACCCCCTTCGTGTGCGGTGCCGGCCTTTATAGGTGCTACTCGCTAACAGCACTTGCCCCATCAGCCTCTTAAGGCTATACGGGGGATCTGTGTCTTTGGTACCGAATTATATTTTTTACGGTTAAATTGTGCGGTACCGTCAGCTGGCCGTGATGACATTATTGTGTGAAACGTCATATTTATCTATTGTACATGAAAACAGAATTGAAAATTATTTCTATTTTACACGACTTAAAGAATGAAACTGTTATTTTTTGTAACTGTCATGTGTAATATGGCTTTGATATATTACATTTTCGAAACCAAAAATGTTGACCACTCCAGTTTATTTTTTCATGTTAACTACCTCGCCTGGAATACAGGAAGGAGGTCGTGCGTTCGATCCCAACCCTGACGCCTGCTGCTGTATATTTGAAGTTTGCGTGTCTCTCTTCCAGTGAGTCGTGTGGGTTTTTTCTCCGGGTCCTCTGGGTTTTCCCTCCACATTTAAAATCAACATCACGCGTTTAGAGTATTTGGCTGCTAAAACTTTCCACGTGATAAGCCACTTCGTTGAGCTATCATTTGCGGCCAGGTCGCTTCTGAAACACATTCCTGCGGAGGGAGCTGGTAGGAACGTTGGGTTGCTCGGTCAATGGCCAGGGTCAACGGCGGCACCACGTGGTGTATTCTGCAAATATGCCCGACTGTGAGGGCGGGCACAAGCCGGCGTGAGTAGGTTAAACGTTGAGTTTTATAAGGGCACCACGGGGTGACCAGCCCCTCGCCACCCAGCCCCACCCCTCCCACCCCCCACCCAGCCCCTCCCCACCCTCCCCACCCAGCCCCTCCCCACCCTCCCCTCCCCACCCAGCCCCTCCCCACCCAGCCCCTCCCCACCCAGCCCCTCCCCACCCAGCCCCTCCCCACCCTCCCCTCCCCACCCAGCCCCACCCCACCCAGCCCCTCCCCACCCAGCCCCTCCCCACCCAGCCCCTCCCCACCCTCCCCTCCCCACCCTCCCCTCCCCACCCAGCCCCTCCCTCCCATTTTTGGATGCACGACGGACGGACACAATAATCCCCTGTGGGCTGGTGTAACCAGGAGGTTCCTACCAGTAAAATAGCTATATAGCTCAGTAAACTTTACCTGGTATAATAAAACATATTTAATAGTTGTAATAGTTTATTCAATATCATAGAATAGGTTTGGCGTTAATGTTTTTTTCCCAAACCCGACATTCAGTTTTTTTTTCATCCAAGTCTGTATTATTACCCGAAACTTTACCCATGGCACACAACGGGTTAAACAAAAAGTTTCTGACACGCCCCTACTGGACGTGTGTGCAAAAAGAGCTTCAGAGCTTATCGGATTCGACCAGGATACGATGGGTTAGGCTTTGCGACGTCATCCGCATCGCGCTGGGCGTGGCTTGTATGTGGGGGGGGAGTGGGGGTTTCCAGCCTTCAGGAGACGGGATGTTGGGTCAGGGTGGCTGTGGTATTTTAAGCGGCCCAAGCAATCACAACCTACAAAAAATTAAGTCGATTATAATGAAGCATTTACATAGCTGTGAACCCGTACGGTTGACCCCGAATTCTGGTACAGAAAAACTGAGTTGTCAGGCCCATAGGGCGTACAACCGTTTCAAATACCGGGGCATTAGTTTTCGTCTATTTGTGTTTCTCCCTTGTGATGGGACTTTGTAGGATGAACGTTGAGATTTATAAGGGGCACGGGGTGACCAACGAGGTCTGAATGGGTCTGTAAATAAGCTCGGCAGCGCTGATCAGGAGTTGCAACTGAGTGACTCTCGCTACGAAACATCCAGTTGGCGAACACCGCCGCACGCCGCGGAGCGTACAAAGCACAGGGGAGTCGTACAGGCACAGGGGAGTCGTACAGGCACAGATGAGTCGTAGTCACAGAGTCGAGCGGCAACATCGTTTTCCGTGGAGGCAGTTTATAAAGGAAACCTGCAGAAAGCCCAAAGATATGTAACAAAGCATTTTTAAAAAAACAGACACCATAAACCAGTGTTGATCATCGCAAGGGGGGCTGGTGGGGGGGGGGGGGGGCGGTGGGGGGGGGGGCTGGTGGGGGGAGGGGCTGGTGGGGGGGGAGGCAAGGCATGTTTCGACTGCTTGTTTTGATGCATTTTTTTCACGAGTGTAACATTGTAAATAAATAACTAATGTGATTGTTGAAACATTAAATTTTAGATACGTGTCATATATAGTAGAAATAAAACTGCATTAGTACGCGTTCAACACCATTTCCCAAAACGATTTCTTCCTCCATCCACAAAGTACAAAGCGTTTTCAAAGTAGTTGCGCCGACGTTTCAACATATCGTAAAGACACCTCGGCAAAACGGCAGGGTCAATAAGTTGCGAATACGACCCTTGTCGAGTCCAGTGGCTTCGGGACATAAATCGAACGGGTGCCGAACAAACTGCCGTGTAGGTAGCGGTGTAACAATTCAGGATCGTAACAAACATTTATCGCTTCGAAGCCCTTTTCCACAGGCGTCGAAGACGGCGAGCACCACAAATTTGTGGCTTCGCCGCTCAAATTCACGAACCAATTCTCTTTGAGAACGCTTCTCGGCACGCAACGCCGCCTCTTCAAGTCGCGGCCGCAAGGGATGGGATTCACGTTATTTAAAAAAAAACCCCACGCACACAAACACGGATCGAGCAACAGTCGCTTCTCGCGCCAGATCCACGTCGGCACGCTGTCGTGAGCGGACGCATCGACTTTAATCGATGGAATTGACTTCGACTTCTGTCATTTCAGAAGCCGCCAGGTAAGAAGGGGTTGGAGAACTGACTCGCCCTTGGACCAGACGTGACCCACAACTTCATATCAAGCGGTCCGCAGGCAACACGAGGCCAAACCAATTTCAGACGGCCCGTGGGCGAGATGTTAACTACCTCGCCAGGTGTGCAGGAGGTCGTGGGTTCGATCCAGACCCTGACACCCTGCTGCTGCTTTATATTTGGAGTTTGCGGTGTCTCTCTCTCGCGCCGTGGTCGCGTGGATTTTTTTTCTCCGGGTCCCTCCTCCACATTTAGAATCGACATCACCCATCTGGAGTATTTGGTTGCTATACATTTCCAAAAACTTAACCCCCAAAAAAATATTTTTTTATCAGAATATAGGCTGCGAAAACCGATGCTACGCTATTTATCAATCACTGCCAGCATCTCAGCAGCACTAATCAGAAACTAGAGGCGATATATAATGAACCTGTAACAACACCTAATTGAGGAGCTCCCTCTAGGTCCACTCGGCAAAAAATAGCCAGCATTAGCAAAGTGCGTCCACCCATTACCGGGTTCTGAGGCGTCCCCTCCCTAAAAGCGAAGTACCACAGATATCCACACAAGCACGTGTGCTTGTGTGTATATCTGTGTGCTTGTGTGCATGATGTGCATCTGTGCTCCTGTATGTGTGCATTGTGTACACGTATGACGTCGTTGTATGCTTTAGTTGTGTACGTGTCAATAGGTGGGCGGGGGTGATGCTGACCACATCGTGCGCCCTTGTGTGCTGTTTACAGTCCTAGTAGGTGCATGCCAACACAATTTAAAGCCCCAAGAACTTATTGAGGTTACACAGGTGATGTTTGCCCGTGTGTACGTGTGCTTGTCTATGTGTGCATGCACAGCACACGCATGCAGTAGCATGGTGCGGTGTGTAAAAACATCGCCACTTGGGAGACAAAGGCGGCTGGGCATGGTGCCGGCCACCCACTCCTTCGTGTGCCGTTCTGGCCTTCATAGGTGCTCGGGAACAGCACTTGCCCCAACAGTGTGTTCAGGCTATACGGGGGATCTTAGTTTTTTGTCTTTGTACAGCATATGTATGTGTGCGTCTTTGTGCGTGTTTTTGAAGACGTGTATGAATTTATATGTGTGTATGCATGCGTTAGCGAGCACCAATTAAGTTTAGCGTGGTGCACGATGATCGGCTAGGCCTTAAATAAGTTCCCAGCGGTGTCTGAACATAAGCACGGGTGAGACAAAGGCAGCTGGACATGGTACTGTCCACATCACCCGGCATCATGCGTCGTGTCTGCAGCCTTCGTAGGTACTACTTGCCCCAACAGCCTGTGTGGGGTACACGGGGGATCTTCGTATGTGTGTGTGTCGGAGTGGGAGTGTAGCGGTTAGCACGCCGCGCTATGAATCTGGCAACTCGAGTTTGATTCCCACTCACGGACAACACGAGCGACGATGATCTGAACTGGTCCTGGGCCTCCTCTATGTCGACAAATGAGTACCTGGTGTGGTGTGTAAACATCACCACTGAGGAGACAAAGGCAGCCGGGCGTGGTGTTGACCACCCACCCCCTCGTGTGCCGTGCCTGCCTTAATAGATGCTCGCTAACAGCACTTTCCGTAACGGTCTGCTCAGGCTATACAGGGAATATTTCGTCTTTCTTTTGTGCACATGCGTGTGTGTGGATGCGTGTGTGTGTGGATGCGTGTGTGCGTGTGTGTGGATGCGTGTGTGTGTGTGTGTGCGTGCGTTAGTGCGTGCGTGCGTTAGTGCGTGCGTTAGTGCGTTCAAGAGCTGGGCCAACGTGGAGTCGCCAGCCCTCATGGCACCCAGGCTCCCGAGTTCACACACCTGGGCCACCTGGCACACACGCACACACACACACACGGGGTTACACTGAGCGACTTCACACTGAACACCTTAGGACAACAAAAAATCCAACGGGGATTTGATGACAATTGTTAGAGTAGCAAGGGCCTCTACTGTTATGGGAATCTGTCAAGGTGTTGTCAGCGCTTGGATGGGCGTTGGTGATGCATTAAAACAGGCTTTTACAGGCAGCTGCGAGGCTACGCTGTCGGAATCAGGAGGACGGTGCAGCAAAAATCCACCGTTGTACTGCGCGCCTGTGCTCCCACCTCAATGCTTCCACCAGCCCGCACTGATCAGCGTGGTGAGGTATGGTTACACAACCCTTCATGACCCGCGCGGTATCGGGAGGCCCTCGTCCAGCAGTGGGTTGTCAAAACGGCTGTACTCATCAGGAAGGTGAAAGCCGGGCAGTCTGGTGGTGGTGGTGGTGAGTTCGCTGTTCAGGTGTATCTAGCGATAGATGGAAGCCACGCGGTCTGGTGGTCGCCTGCTCCAATGTTTGCTGGGCACGTTGCTTGCAGCCCATGAGTTGGTCCATGCCGTCCGGATGCCGAGCTCCGCGTCACGCAGAGTTTGTTCATTGCTCACCGCAGGGTGGAGGTGTCCATGCAAAATCCGCACCCTTCGCCCGCCTCCACTCCAATCCGTTACTCTCCTTGCTGTTCTCGACGAAGCTTCTGTGGGATGACAGTCGTTATGAAGAAGGGTGATTGCGTTGAACGCGTGTGTAGGGAAATGTAGACATTCGTGAAGGATAATTGAAAGCATGTTGAAAAAGTTAAATGATTGCCACAGCAGAAAACCTGGGCCGGAATCCGGCTTTCAACCACGCGTGATGAAGCTGGGTTCTCAGCTTTCGTGAGTTGATGGTGTCAGTGTAACCCTACGTCAATATTGGCTGAAGGGGGGCAATAACCTTTCCCTAAATTTTGATTTAAAGCTTTCGTGACTGCAGGGATTCATATTCTTGGTTCTTTCGGTAAAGTCACGTAGAAAGGAAACATTAAAAGAATAAAAATATAAAACAATAAAATTATCACGACGTTTCGACTGCAACACAAGCAATCATCATCTGGTGTGAAAACCACAACAAGAAAATTTGAAAAAAGTGGCGGTTTTTTTAACGTTAGCACCACGGAGAGCGATTTGACAGTTTATTCAGATGGACGAGTCCATCTATGTTTGGAAAAGAGGAGGGAGGAGACGAATATAATGGATGCGGCCTGAAATCCACCATAAGCGTGAACAATCAATTAAGAACCGAAATGGTGTATCAAATCCTTCCAATGATTGCCAAGCCAGAATCCATCTTCTCGGTTGAAATTGTCTCTGTTTGTATATGTGGATAGCCTCATGAAGGAATCTCTCATGGTAGCCAGATGGCTTGCAAAGAAATTCTGTCTTGGAGAAGTCAATGTCATGTGAGCCTACGAATCATAACAGTGATCTGCCACGGCTCACATGACATTGACTTCTCCAAGACAGAGGTTCTTTGCAAGCCATCTGGCTACCATGAGAGATTCATTCATGAGGCTATCCACATATACAAACACAGAGACAATTTCAACCGAGAAGATGGATTCTGGCTAGGCAATCATTGGAAGGATTTGATAAACCATTTCGGGTCTTAATTGATTGTTCATGCTTACGGTGGATTTTAGACCGCATCCATTATTTTCGTCTCCCCCCCTCCTCTTTTCTGAACATAGATGGACTCATCCATCTGAATAACTGCCAAATGGTGCTAACGTTAAAAAAACGCCACTTTATTCAAATTTTCTTGCTGTGGTTTTCACACCTGATGATGATTGCTTGTGTTGCAGTCGAAACGTCGCGAGAATTTTATTGTTTTATATTTTTATTATTTTATTGTTTCCCTTCTACGTGACTTTACCGAAAGAACCAAGAATATGAACCTTTCCCTACTTTGCCTATTTTCTACAAAATAAAGATTTTAAAAATATATATTAACCAATATAAATCTATGCAAACACCCACGCACTTACCCACCTACACAAGGCAAACCCACCCCCCTCCCCCATACAGCCTAACCAAACCTATTAAGGCTATCATGGCACATAAGGGAGTGATCTGGCCAGCCCCAAGCCCGGCCACCTTTGTCTCCCCAGTGCTGATGTTTACGCACTGCACCGGGTACTCATTTAATGCTGCGTTGATCAGCGCCGGTTCACTTCACTCACTGGACCAGTTTCAGACGATTCATCCCTGACGTTAGCAGCTTTGAGGAATCGAAACGGGGGTCCTCCAGGTTAATAGAACAGTGCGCTAACCACTATTACACCGCTCCTATACCCCGCCCATCGCCACCAAGTGAGGGTGACGTCACCACGGCGTCTGTACCAGGCCACGTGAAGTGTCGGAGGCTCACTGAAAGGTCACGGGACACACGCAGCAGGTGCCATTGGTTGACTGACGTGAGATGACTGGCAGATGCACCAGCTGTGCCGCCCCCCCCCCCCCCCCCGACTGTTCCACCACTCCCCACACCCACCCACACGCCCAATTTTTTGTTTCTCAACCACGAGGCTTCAAAATGCCTGTCTGAGAGAGAGCCCCGGTCGACCAGCCTACGTGGAGTTCGCAACCGCAAGGTGAGAGCGATCTCGTCGCTTTTGTTCGACCGCCGTAAACCGACGGAGGGCACTGTACCGCACGATGGCGGGCAGCCTGGGGTCGCGCCAGATGTGCTGGTGCCGGTAGCCGCACGCCGCCGGGAAGCTCGCGAAGCGGACCGTGTCGCTGTGGTGGGGCCGCGCCACAATCATCAACAGGTACAGCTTGAGGCCCATGTGGTAGGGCACCACCGGGTCGTCGCGTGAGTGCAGCAGCAGCAGGCGGCTCGTGACGTGTACCAGCCTAGGTGGAGGCGGGGTGGCAGGTTTCATCATCTAAGCCCATGAATGTACATACATATGTATGTCGAACTTCTTTCGCGCCGTACGTAGCCAGCCGTTGCGCCAATGGGGTCGAGACAATGAGCACCATTTTTCGGCGAGGTCAACGGCGGTTGACTGGACATCCGTGAGTATACTGGAAGCATGTGAAAAAGAGCTTCAAAGCTCATCGGATTCCTCAAGTCTAATCAAATATTCTGATTCTGGTCGTTCAATGGATCCACTCAACCGCCACACCTCCCCCCCCCCCCCCCCGCCGCCCCCCCCCAGCATAGGAATGTGGAATTTCCACCACCGGCTCAGGCTTTGACTTTGAACCGAAACTCACTTTTCATCAATGGCAAAACGTATTCCGTTGTCCTCCAGGGGTTTGACGAAGAACCAGTCGAAGGCCGGGAAGAATCTGTAGATCTGCACACGTGGAGGTAGGGAGGACCAGGAGGAGCGCAACAGGGTTCCTTGGCCGAGGTCCATGACTCGGGCAACACGATTGATTCCGACGGACAGAAAGGTAACATAGCCCAACTTGACAGACAAATCGCACTGATATCACGGTTCCTGAAATGTATTGCTACGGAAGGATGCTGCATCCAAGCTGGACCCAAAGAGTGACCAACGTAGAACAAAGTAAAAGTTTGCGCATTGTAGAGGACCCGATGCAGGCGGTGATGAGAAGGAGTGTACACTCTTTGGGCACACGTGTAGGATGGGCAACAACAGGGAAATGAAAAGGAACCGGAAAGAAAGGAATTCCTAACAGAGAATGGCTTGGCGAGGACCAAACAAGAGATTGGTGCCAGAAAGATGCGGCCACGACTTTGAGCATATTGGCACAACACAGAGAAAAGTGGAAACAAATGACGAAATGCACAGTGGACACCTACACACGGGCTATCTGTCCTTGGATTGTGATTATGATGATGAGCGCAGCCCAAAAAGGACAAAACCACCAAGCGACCAGCAACAAACGGCACTGTGGAAGGTGTAATGTACAGGGCGTTTTAAAAGGATGGACCCGATTTGAAATCGCTATATCTCTGCAACCACGAACCGCCCACAAATTAAACTCTTACCACTTGAAAGGGCGGGGCATAGAGAGGGCGGGGCATAGAGTTTCAAATGATTACCGCGAGATGCCTCTCCCAGCGCACAAACAGCCCCTAGCCTCAGTCACTCTCTAGATGGTGACCCCAGTGCACAAACAGCCCCTAGCCTCAGTCATTCTCTAGATGGTGACCCCAGCGCACAAACAGCCCCTAGCCTCAGTCATTCTCTAGATGGTGACCCCAGCACACAAACAGCCCCTAGCCTCAGTCATTCTCTAGATGGTGACCCCAGCTCACAAACAGCCCCTAGCCTCAGTCACTCTCTAGATGGTGACCCCAGCTCACAAACAGCCCCTAGCCTCAGTCACTCTCTAGATGGTGACCCCACAACACAAACAGCCCCTAGCCTCAGTCACTCTCTAGATGGTGACCCCAGTGCACAAACAGCCCCTAGCCTCAGTCATTCTCTAGATGGTGACCCCAGCTCACAAACAGCCCCTAGCCTCAGTCACTCTCTAGATGGTGACCCCAGTGCACAAACAGCCCCTAGCCTCAGTCACTCTCTAGATGGTGACCCCAGTGCACAAACAGCCCCTAGCCTCAGTCATTCTCTAGATGGTGACCCCAGCTCACAAACAGCCCCTAGCCTCAGTCACTCTCTAGATGGTGACCCCAGTGCACAAACAGCCCCTAGCCTCAGTCACTCTCTAGATGGTGACCCCAGTGCACAAACAGCCCCTAGCCTCAGTCATTCTCTAGATGGTGACCCCAGCACACAAACAGCCCCTAGCCTCAGTCATTCTCTAGATGGTGACCCCAGCACACAAACAGCCCCTAGCCTCAGTCATTCTCTAGATGGTGACCCCAGTGCACAAACAGCCCCTATCCTCAGTCATTCTCTAGATGGTGACCCCAGTACACAAACAGGCCCTAGCCTCAGTCACTCTCTAGATGGTGACCCCACCGCAACACAAGGGGTGTTTTGCGTTTTGCAGTTCAGCAAGACTGAATCCGTAATTTGTAAGTTAGGAAAGTGGGTGAGTGTGTCGTCGTAACTTGCAGTGTTGTGGTGGTTGAACACAGCGGTGGATGAGACTTAAACAGTCAATGTCTGATAGACCCGAGTCTTCGACGCGTGAGGAGGAGCCAATGAGTGAAGTTCACGGGAACAACAACCACAGCAAAAGCAACGGAAGAGTACTACGGAGGCAACTGACCGCCGGTAAGCGAGTGGCCACCAGAGTGAACGAATCAACGAGTGCATCAAGCACCCCGACTACTACTCGATGTTGAATTATATCGAGCGTAGTGATGAAGCAACTGGGTGCTCCATCCCAGATATGACGACGACAACAACAACATCCCAACCCGGGCTGAGTATGCAGCAACACACTCAGCGAGGTGTAACACAGAAGCACTATTGCCTGAAACGTTACTTGTAACAAAACAAAAAAATTCAGGCCACAGTGGTTAATGACGAACGTGCCGAGTGCTTTTTTCTCTGTTGATAAATAATCGTGCTTGTGTACCGCTGCCAACGCGGTAGTATCGACAGCAGCATCGCCGAATAAATCGTAAACGGGGGAGCGGGGGTGGCAGTGTGATCGATGCTCACCAGGCTCATGGGGTGGTTCCTGATCTCATCGCGCAGATTCGTGAACGGAGACTCCAGGACGAGGCCATCCAGCTGCCCACCTGGGCGCGTTCCACACATTTTGGTAACAGCATTGGTCAATAAAAAACAATATATTTTCATGATAATGTATGTTTGTTCTTTCGTTTTATCGAGGCAATGCGCGGGCCTGTTACATCACGTTGTGACGCACGTAAATACCATCGGCATAAGCCAAACCGGTTATGAAAAGCAGGGGATAGAAAGATGGGGAGCGGGCTCGCTGCCCCAATAATGTATGTATGTTTTGAACTTCTTTCCCACCGTACGTACCCAACCATGCTAATCGAAGATTTGGGGAAGGACAACAAACTGAACACAAAAATCAGTTCTATAAAAATGAGTTTTCAATTTATATTTAAAAGCACATAGCTCCAATGGCTTCCTAATATCGGAGGGAAGAGCATTCCAGACGGCTGCAGAAGAGCATCTGAAACAAAGGGAGCTGCCACAGTGGTGTATTGGTCAGCAGCGCACTGGACTCACAATCAAGAGGTCGCGAAAGTCCATTCCATCTCCGTTACACCGAGAAACGATGACGGATCTACGTACGCCCGTGCATGCCAATCGGTGCATTCGCAACTAAAATTCCACGGGAAACAATAACCGACGGTTCGTAGCATCTGGGAGCTGGTGACCGATTCCGGAAACAGTTCCCGGTTTTAACGGGCAGTTGTGTAACAACCCTAACACTGTGTGAAGGTGAATGTGTGTGTGTGTGAGATCGCATTGGTATCAAACTAGTAGGAAGTGAGGTCTTACCTTCCTTGTTTATTTGAACAGCCAGGTTCGTGGCAACCCTGTTACAAAATAAGACAACAGTTAGCTATTACAACTCGACAACTCTGTTGAAAAAAGAATACGGGGGAAGGAAATGTCATCACATCACATTGGAAAAATGGGAAAAAAAGAATTGCATTGGCTTCCAGTAAAAGAACGCCTCAATTTCAAAATCTGAACGCTGAGTTTAGGCGATCCATGGATAGACGTGCACCTGGTCGTTTCATTGAAACTCATTTATGAATACGTTTCAACCAAGGTTCAAACCTCTATATGTCTGTCTGTAACTTGGGGTCACGAGAACTCTCCATAAGTGTAGCCTAATATATTTCCGTTAGGCGACTTGCCCTCAGTAAAGCCCAGCCAAATTGACCACAGTGTTGGCCCTGTCGGGATCGAACCCATGTTCTCCTGCATACCAGGCGAGGCAGTTCAAATCTCGCCACCGTGGCGACCACCGTGCCTAGATGATTAACCATAGTGAGAGGCCCAACACGGTGGGAAAGCAATTACAGAATCCATGCGGGTGCATGATTTTTCTTCCTCATCATCATTATTATATTGTCATCACCACCAGCGTACCCGCTGCCGAGCGAGTGTCCCCACACGAACAGGGGGCTCTTCTGGCTCCGTGCAACGATCCACTTGTACGTGGTGAAGGCGTCCTCCGTGATGGCGACCTCCGACGGGGAGCCCACCGAGTCGCCCCACCCTGCCCGGCGCGTGGTTTAGGAATTAAGAGATGGCAATTGGTGGGAGTAGGAGGGGGGGGAGGTGTAATGAGGGCACGGTGAGGAATGAGAGAGGGCAGTTGGTGGGAGTAGGAGGCGGGAGGTGGAATGAGGGCACGGTGAGGAATGAGAGGTGGCAGTTGATGGGAGTAGGAGGGGGGGGAGGTGGAATGAGGGCACGGTGAGGAATGAGAGGTGGCAGTTGGTGGGAGTAGGAGGGGGGGAGGTGGAATGAGGGCACGGTGAGGAATGAGAGATGGCAGTTGATGGGAGTAGGAGGGGGGGGAGGTGGAATGAGGGCACGGTGAGGAATGAGAGATGGCAGTTGATGGGAGTAGGAGGGGGGAGGTGGAATGAGGGCACGGTGAGGAATGAGAGGTGGCAGTTGATGGGAGTAGGAGGGGGGGGAGGTGGAATGAGGGCACGGTGAGGAATGAGAGATGGCAGTTGGTGGGAGTAGGGGGGGGGGAGGTGGAATGAGGGCACGGTAAGGAATGAGAGAGGAAAGTTAGTGGGAGTAGGAGGTGGAATGAGGGCACGGTGAGGAATGAGAGAGGGCAGTTGGTGGGAGTAGGAGGGGGGAGGTGGAATGAGGGCACGGTGAGGAATGAGAGGTGGCAGTTGGTGGGAGTAGGAGAGGGGGAGGTGGAATGAGGGCACGGTGAGGAATGAGAGAGGGCAGTTGGTGGGAGTAGGAGGGGGGGAGGTGGAATGAGGGCATGGTCAGGAATGAGAGATGGCAGTTGGTGGGAGTAGGGGGGGTGGAGGTGGAATGAGGGCACGGTAAGGAATGAGAGATGGCAGTTGGTGGGAGGAAGGGGAGGTGGAATGAGGGCACGGTGAGGAATGAGAGATGGCAGTTGGTGAGAGGGGGGGAGGGGATGACAGATGGTGAGGAACGAGAGATGGGGGGTATGGCAGCGGGGAGGGAAGGAGGGAGTGAAGGGAGGGAGAGCCCACGTGTTCTGGAGAGAATGAAAAGTTGCAACTCCCCAACGCCCTACCCCTCCCCCAGCCCCTCCACCCCAGTGATTTCAGGAATTCCCACGATGAATGATCGCGAGTCGATTAGAGGATTGATTCGTTTTCAAACAACGCGATGAATAGTCATGCCACTAGCGCATGCGGGGTCAAGTTAACCCATTACATACAAGGTGTACGGATCGAAACACGTCGATACGTGCACAAGTCAATCGATGCAGTTGTGAGTTATAGAATAGATATTAACAGGATGCTTTGATGCATCGTTCCACCATTAGTGCCTAGTGCAGGACTACAGGCTGCTGTAATTTCAGCGTGTAATTATTAACGTAATTTGTTTGTCCACGGAAGCCTCGCTTGAGTCTCGAGACTCTTTCTCAGGAGGGTCCTTGATTTTGATGTTTGGACAATTTTATTAAGCGGGGTGGGGGGTTGGGGAGGGGGTGTTTTTATTTGAGGAAACCAAGAATAAAAAAAAAACTCACTGAGCTTACGAAGGGATAACACTCAAAGGTGGACTTATCTATTTTTATTTTACCAGGCAAGGGCGCACTTAGCTATATAGCTCTTTTTCAGAAGCGACCTGGCAATCACAAATGATAGCTCAACGAAGTGGCTTATCATCGTGTGGAAATACATAGCAGCCAAATACTCTAAACGTGTGTGTTTATTCTAAATGTGGAGGGAAAAACCAAAGAACCCGGGGAAAAATCCACGCGACCACGGGGGGAGAGAGAGACATGCAAACTCCAAATATACAGCAGGAGTCAGGTTCCAGATTCGAACCCACGACCTCCTGTATACCAAGCGAGGTAGTTAACATCTCGGCACCGTCGCGAGATGTTAACTACCTAAGAGATGGGTAAGGAACCCATTTGCTCTGCTGCCATTTCACAGCCCAGTGGATTTGGGATATTCTCAAATCAAATCCGTACCGCCGACGCGTGCCTCCAAGTGCCTAGGTCCCAGGTGTGCACCACCGCGTGTGCGTTGTGTTTGCGTGCGACGATAATTCGGAAGAAATGCAAGCTGGCATTACCTCTGTAATCCACAGCCACGATGTGATAATCAAGAGCACTTATGACCTGCAGAGATGAGAGAAGTTTAGAAGTCACGATGAGAGTGAACTGGAAGCTTGGTTGAAGTTTATCGACATTATTTATAAAGCGATCAAATACAAATTGGATTTATGTAGCGTCAAAAATGTGACCGCATCTCAAGATCCTGTAAAGAAAAATTGGGAAAATGTAATATGTAGAAATGCAGTCGGTCATAGGCAGGGGACAATTGAGGGTATTGAGGCTAGACTTGAACAGGGAGCAGGGAGCCGACAACACAGATGGCTGGAGGAAGGGAGTTCCAGACTGAGGGCAGCAGAAGACAATGAGCGACCTCCTGCTGAGCGAAAGATTGACTGGTTGCTGGAGCTGAGAGTGCATGGAGGGGGGTAAGATGAGAGAGGAGAGGTAGGAGAATGTGTGGAGGATAATACAGTGGAATGAGAGCGGAGAGGTAGGAGAGTGCGTGGCGTGGAGTAGAGTGAGATGAGGGGGGAGAGGTAGGAGAGTGTGTGGAGGGGAGTGGAGAGGTAGGAGAGTGCATGGAGGGGAGTAGAGTGAGATTAGAGGGGAGAGGTAGGAGAGTGCGTGGAGTGGAGTAGAGTGAGATGAGAGGTAGGAGAGTGCGTGGAGTGGAGTTGAGTGAGATAAGAGGGGAGAGGTAGGAGAGTGCATGGAGGGGAGTAGAGTGAGATGAGAGGGGAGAGGTAGGAGAGTGCGTGGAGAGGAGTAGAGTGAGATGAGAGGGGAGAGGGAGGAGAGTGCATGGAGGGGAGTAGAGTGAGATGAGAGGGGAGAGGTAGGAGAGTGCATGGAGGGGAGTAGAGTGAGATGAGAGGGGAGAGGTAGGAGAGTGCATGGAGGGGAGTAGAGTGAGATGAGAGGGAAGAGGTAGGCAGGGATGATTGCATGGAGGATATTGAAGATGGTGGGTGTGCTCTGCATGATCACCCAGGACTGGAGTGCGTAGACAGTGGAGGAGATTGCAGTACCGGTGCGACGTGTTCTTGTTTACAAGTGTCTGCGAGAAGTCTGGCAGCGGCAATTTTGAATCAACAAATTACGCAAAGTTTTCAAGGATCGCATCGGGCACGGATTAGCTGCCAACCGCTTTAGCACGCTACCTTGTAGAGCTGCACTCGGTACGCTCCAGCCCTAGGAGAGAAAGGACGACAGGCCGTGTCAACCGGGAGAGATCACAAGAAGGGGCGGCAATCCAAAAAAAGAAACAGGTGTGTAAATATGTAGGTAGCCTGTGTCCCAGGGTGTCTGACACGAGTTGGAAGCTTTGTTATTGAAGGAGATGAAAAGACCTGATATCTTGACTTACAGCTTTCGTGACTGCGGGAATTCATATTCTTTGGGTCTTTCGGTAAAGTCACGTAGATAGGTTCAAATTAATACAAATAAAATAAACAAAAAACTGCGACGTTTCGATCACAACACAAGCGATCGTCATCAGGAGGGAAAAAAGAGGGGGGGACAGCTGCTGAGACAGACAGAGAAACCTGTGGTTCTCAATCGTAAAAAAAATAATGTTAATAAATACACATCGGTTTGATGACACAAGTACTTGTACTTACGTGCCCGTGCTTAATTTGTGTTTCGATGATTTACCTTCTAAAACAATCTGGCCATGTCTCGCACACTCCCAGAAAGGGCATCTCACACCCCCAAGGGGTGTATGCACCCCAGGTTAAGAAGCACTGGGCTAGAGGTAGGGCTACGTACTAGATGTTGATACAATCAGTGTGATTAACCCGCAAACCGCTTGCATTTGCTCTCCAGTGCAGTGTTAACGAAGAAGTGGGGTTTCAGTTTGTTGGCGCACTCTTCACTGCTTGTGGATAAGAGTGCAAAGGGACGATTCCGATCGCATGAGAGGTTCCCGTTCGCATGGTGTCTCACCGCGAAGCCGCATTGCCGTGCAGGTAGAGGATGATGGGGCGACCGGATCCCAGGCTGTCCTCGTACCAGCCTGAGTCCTTGCCCCGAGCCTGCTGCCCAAGGGAGGCGGGCACCGTGTGCCTGGCAGCGTACAGTCAAAAGCCATACAAAAGATAAAGATCCCCCCGTATAGCGTTAACAGACAATTGGCGCAAGCGCTATTAGCAAGCACCTATGAAGGCCGGCACGGCACACGAGGGGGTGGGCGGCCAGTACCGTGCCCGGCAACCATTGTCTCTCCAGTAGTGATGTTTACACATCGCACCAGGTACTCATTTAAGGCTGAGTCGACCTAGGGGAGGCCCAGGACCGCTTAAAATAATCGTCACTGATGTTGGCCATTAGCGGGAGTCGAATTCGGGTCAGCAGGGTCGTAGCGCAATGCGCTAATCATAACGCCACAACACACACACACATACGGCATAAGTTTTTTTTTTGCTTGGGTTATATTGCGTAAATATGTGTCGTTAAACCCGCCACCACCCGACACAGCCAATTAGTAAGGTTTGTCACGTAAACAAAATGTACCAATTAGTTACTAGTTCAGCATACCAGTGTGTTGGGAGAGGAAACCCACAATATTTACAATTCGAGGACGATGTTTCACCGGTAATTACAACCAGCATCATCAGGCGACAACCAGAATAAACGACACATTAATATTTACATGATCTAACCCAAAAAAAAACCTCGAATATGGATATTGGTCGTGAAAGCCTACGTGTTAAACACACACATGGCAGCTTGTCATCACGAGTATATATGACTTGTATCAGGGTTCTTCAACTACATTTGCTGGTGGTATAATTGGCATGTGCTGCCAGGCCTTTTGATGCGATACGTCACGTGCACAAATGTTACGATGTCACACGGCATCGTAACGTCTGCACATGTGACTACCAATGCGTGCCTCTTGTCTCAAGGTCTCTCATATCTCTCTCGTTTATCTCACTTTCAACTCACCAATCTTAATCTCTTGCTTACAGCGCTCCCATCTCTATCCCTTGTCCATCTTTCTTTCATCTCACTAATCTGCATCTCTTCACATCTCTTTGAGAGCCATATCTCTAGGCGAGCCGTAGCTCAGCAGGCCTCCGTGGGATACATCTGGCCATCAGGCTGCTAGCTGTACAACCCTCACTTATAAAAAAAGACAAAGATCCTCTGTATAGCTTTTACAGACTGCTGGTGCAAGTGCGGTAAGCTATTGCCTATTGATGCCTGCAAGGCACACTAGAGGGGGGATGGCGTGGCCAAGCAAGAGGCCTGAAGGCCTTTGTCTCACCAGCGCTGCTGCCGTTCATATACCATACCATTCAAGGCTCAATCGACCAAGTACATTTTTCAACCCTTCTCTTCGCAGCCCACCACGTAGCCCGATAGCAGTTTACACGGTTAATTCCCACATGGGTGTCAGTAAAAACTAAATTAATATATTTTTTTATATTACCAGGTAAGGCCCGCTGAGCTATATAGCTCTTTTTTAGAAGAGACCTGGCCACAAATTATAGCCCAATGAAGTGGCCTATCACGTGGAAAATTATCGCAGCCAAATACTCTAAACGCACGTTTCTAAATGTGGAGGAAAAAACCGGAGGACCCAGAGAAAAATCCACATGACCACGGAGAGAGGGAGAGACACGCAAACTCCAAATACACAGCAGGCGTCAGGTTCGGGATCAAACCCACGACCTCCTGCATACCAAGCGAGGCAGTTAACATCTCGCCACCGCAGCGCCGTGTGTGTGTGCGAGCGTTCAGGTCACGTACCAGACACCGAGGGTTACGCCACTCTCCGGCTGGATGTAGAAATTGCGCGTGTGGTTGAGACCGAAGTGCGTTTCTGGATCGACGAGTTGCTCCGTGGTTGGGACGCGCACTGAAAAATAAAACACGCGTGCACGGCGCAGCCCCCGGTTCAACAGAGACGCACGTACGTGGGTGCACAGTAAGCATGTGACACATCGAATCGTCCACTAAAATCCGATTCTGATTGTGAAGCTTTGTTGGTCAGTTCTGAAGGGCTACAGAAACTGGTAGAAAGCCTGAATAATTCTGAGTGACTTTGGAATGAGAACGACCGTTTGCGCAGCACAACCCTGGTTTTGTATTACACATTGATGCAGAGTTGGGGAAAAACAACGTATCGAATAATCCTCGGAAATCGATCCTTCAGGCTCGTGATAGGTGCATAAAATCGTGTACATGAGAATAATCTTAATATTTGGATCTACCACCCTTCAAACCCTCCAGAATCAAACTTTTGTAGTCTAGGTTTCAAAACAAACATATTTTAAAATGTGCCCCCCAATTTTGGGAGGTTCAAAAGGTTAAGTGTTTGGTTTTCAGATGTTCTTGTTCAACAATATACTTGGCTAATATTTGGACCCGTATCGCCGATCTAGAACATCCTCAGAATTGGCATCATCAACTCACAACTATTAGAAAACTAAATGTAAAATGCACACATAAAGTATGTTTCGTAAATTATACCCAAGCATTCGGTTAATAATAATACTGACGACATAAAACTACCCAGAGTGCACTCCTAGTGTTGTTGAAGAGATGAAGTGGACATGGCCAGAATTTTTTGCGGGGACTTCGAGAGTTCAAAATTTAATTCGTTTAATCTCATGACATCCTTCTAAAAATAACTTGACTATTAATAAGGGTGGAAAAGCTACAATTATTCAAATATTCCCTTCATGATTGTTTTTGATAGAGTGCTGTTTTTGCCAGAGCATATTGTATGTTTAACTTATTTTGCACCGTAGGTAGCCAACCGTGCTACTCGGAGGAGTGGGGAAAGAACAAAACACAAAAAGCAGTTTTAGAGTGCTCTACAAAAAGATAACCAATTTACATTACATCTCGTCTCAAACTTGTGAAATGGCACCCTCAGCAGCAGCTGTCCTCTGTGCAGCACAAGGTTACTCAGCGCATGCATTGCCTGCAAGCTGCGAAGGTGAAGGCAGTAAACCAAAGCACGCGCATGGATCAGAAGCGAGGGCGTCCCGGAACGCACCGAAGTTATTGAAGACCAGTTTCATTGCAATTGTGGGGAACAGCTTGACGATGAACGGAACAAGGACGTAGAAGCCCAGGATGAACAGGAAACATCTGCGTGCATGTTTCATCACTTGAGTGCGTCTGTGAAGACATCACGGGGGGGGGGGGGGTGTCCATTATTCTCAGCTTTGTACGCAGCAGGAAGTTGGACTATGAGAAAGAAGGACGTAAGAAGACTCGAAAGCTCTTGAGATGTGAGTCGTGGTACCGAATGAAACAGAATGTTTATTTAGAATGGAGGAACCAGATGAGCTATGAAGCTCTTTTTCACAAATGTCCAGGGCAAAAAGTTACAACCACAAACAATACAAAGAGCAGTCTGATGGCGAGACAGGACGTTCTAAAGGAGGCTAAGGAGTAGAGAAGTCTCATTGAAACCATTCAGAAACAGCAAAAATAAGTGGAATGGATACTTTCTCAAAAGCCCGAAGGTTGATGAAGGAAGTTGTGGAAGCATGCAGAGAGTTCAAAAGACATAATGCTACACTGCTGCTTCACTTGAAGAACTGGAATAAAGTAGAAAACTCAAGTTTAGACAGTATAGAGGGGAGGTCTGATCCAAGGACATTTCACAATAGACTAAAGAATACATTTGTCACTTCACGTATTGTTACACAGCATTAGGTTATTCTGCAGATTGTATCGTAGCTGCTATCTGCAAGTTTATAGTCAACAAAGGTTGTGGGGCGGTGGCATTGTTATTCGTGCTTTGTGCAATAAACCCCTCGTCCCGAGTTAAAATTTCGAGCCCAAAGCTCGCGTTTAGGGCCCTCCCCATGTCACCAACTCGCGTTGACCAACGCGGTGAAGTATGGTCAAAACGATCCCGATGATGACACGGGTGTGGTCGAGGAGCCTTTCGTTTTGGCAGAGGTTATTGTGAACAAGTGGCCGTATAGCAAGACAGTGAATCACGTAGACCTAGACTAAAGATTAGTTTGTGCTGTTTATCAAACGATTACAAGATCCCAGATCTCAGTCTCACACCCCGGAATTTCAATTGGAGGCATGATAAATTATCGAACGTAATAAAACAAGAGCTATCCTCATTCTCTCTCTTAAATGGCATGTGTTAATGCAAGTACTGTAATGCATACACGTTACAAGTCGATTCTAATTAATCCACACGACGATTACCAGAATAGCCCTAATAGCCTGATACGTTTCGAAACACTCCACCAAAACAATAATAATTCTGGAGAAAGCAACGAATTGCTTCAAAGCCTCTGCCACCTCTCCCACGAATGCCAAGAGATCAGCACACTTATCACCTCTGTACGTATTTAACACTTCGATGCAAGAGATAGGAGGCGAGATCACTTTCACACGACGTTCAATCAGCTGCTCAGCAGCGAGAGAGAGAGAGATAAACACATTTTAAATCAACGAATGCCTTCCACCCTGCACTTAATCGAGCAACAAAAAAAGGTAAATTTACGGAGCAAATTTTTTAAATCAAATACCAATTTATCTCAACGGGTTCTCCACCCCCCCACCCCCACGGGTAATCTAAAGGCAAAAGACGCCACTCACAATGTACACTGCATGTCTCGTCGTGTTGACACGGCAGTAAACACGATACGTTTGCCTTTCCTTACGCGAATGCTCGCCGATTATGGAACAACAACAAAATAGCCACGGTATACGCAACAACATACGTTAAAGCTGCGCCCCGATATGCATAACTTAACAAGACTTGGTTAATAAACGCGCGACACACACACACACCTCGTCATTACAGCCAGGGGCTCGGCTCACAACCGCGCCTGCTCCGAATGTCAAAACAACACAAATAAAAACAACTCTCAAACAGCCGTTACATTTTAAACGCCTTTGCATAATGGTGTGGCTGTCGCCTGATGAAGCGAGTTGTAATTACTGGCGAAACGTCGTACTCAAGACTGTAAATGTTGTGGCTTTGCCCTCCAACACAACCGGTGTTTGCTGTACTCGTTCGCGAATTGCCGCGTTCTGCTTACGTGACAAACCTTACTAATTGGCTGAGTCGGGTGGTGGCGGCTTTAACGACACATTTATATATTCACGCGATGTACCCCCCTGCATTAAGGACGGAGAGGCAACCACGCAAAGGACAAAACAGCGGCAACCTTCCGCGTTCCTCAACTCCGGACGCAAGGCCGCAAACTCTCTCGCCTACTTGGGCCCGCCGGTCGGTGTCAAATAAAAATAACTTAAAAAAACACATCCACATCCCTCGTCGATCTTAAACACATTTTCCTTTTCTCAACAATTGCGCTTAAGACGTAGACAGAGGGGTTGGGTGGGGGGTGGTCGCCGAGACTCACATTCGCTCTCGCCGCATGAGGAACTGAGGACGCCGGGCGGCGGCGGAGTGCACCAGCGGGCTCGAGTTGCAGGCAACGGCGGGGGGAGCCGTCAGGCAACGGCGGAGGCGTCGAGGGCTGAACCAGGCCCGTCCCCATGGCAACCTCGGGATAAACATTTTTTTACAAAGGCGCAGCCCCTGCAACGATAACAACAAATTACAAAGGCGCAGCCCCTGCAACGATATAAAAATACAGATGCGCAGCTCCTGCAACGATTTTTTTTTACCAGTGGGTAAGGACCCCCCACACACACTCCGAGAGCTCAGTTTAGCACGTAGCAGACTTTCGCGACCAATATTATTCATAATAAAGGTGTTTGGGTTAGATCGCGTAAGTATGTGTCGTAACCCTCCACCACCCGACACGGCCAGTAGTAAGGTTTGCCACGTAAACAACGCGCCAATTAGTTTACTACTTCAGCCCACGTTGGCCCAAAATAAAAGTGGCTTACGATCGTGTGGACATTTAAACATATGCAGCAGCCAAAAAAATACCCTAAAGGCGTGATGTTGATTCTAAAATGTGCAATAGGGGGGAGGGGGGAGGAAACGAATTCGGAGGGATCCGGAGGGACCCCTCCCCCCCACGCGTGTGCCACGTGGCACACAACATGCATGTTGTGTGCCACGTGCACACAACATGCATGTGCTGGGCCCTTGTGGCACGACTCCATCCGCCAGTGAGACGCGGCGCCCTTTGCGATGGCGTTGCGCTGCCGTTGGAACCGCAGCTCGAATGTAGCGTTTTCAGTTTCAGTTTATTTATTTTGGTATAGCCCTGTGAGCCATTCAGCTCTTGAATCGGGTGCAACCACAACAACAAAAAAACACGAACAAGAAAAACATCTTAAAGTGACTATGTGTGACTGTGGAAACAGAAAATCCATGAAAAAAACCAGCAAAATATTCCTGCAAAAAAGTACCGTACACCAACGCTGTGTGCAAAAAATCCCAGTGGGATGCAAGTCAAACAACAACCACAAGAAAACTTAGATTCAGGCCATCAGTCTCACTCCGTACTACAACAAAACAAACATGTCCAAACCAATTTTTTTTTCCAAATCACCAAAAAATAAAGCCATAATTGCAACGTAACAGTGATCACAGGGACTGTGACAGAATTTTTACAATAAACTACATAAATAACATGTAACACCAAATCCTAGAGCCATAGCTGGCTGCATGAGTTACTCAACAACAGAGGCATCAGTCGGAGTGTCACATTTTTCAATGCGTTCGCGTTAGCATGGAGCGCGTCGTCTCCGCTTCCATGTGTGGTACGACGCTTGCGGCCGTTCGCGCGCCTTGACATCTCGAAATCGCGAAGCAGGAACCGCCGGGCAGGTTTGGAAGGCATCGGGGTCAGGCAGGTCAGCCGTCGATGCCAACAATTTGCCCAAGCGCTGCAACGCTCTCGATAGTGAGCTGTTTTCAGCCAATGAATGAGCGGGTATACTGCACGTGGGAGGAAAACCGCAGAGGGTCCCGCGTGTGTGAAGGGGGAAACGCTCTATCCCGCGCGCGTGTGATCCATCAACCCTCGCCATCTCCGCACCGTACTGGATTGCATTGTCGGGCGCGTGCGCCAGCACCGCCTGGTCATTCAGCCACACAAGACATGGTCAAGAACGCGTGTTCGTAGTCCAACGTTTCAACGTTTATTGAAGATCTTATCTTGCGTTTATTATCTTTTCCGCCTAAACAACGGCAAACGACCTGCAAGTAACACAATCCTCGTATCTGCAATTACAGCTGCGTGACTGGAACACAAGCGACATTGTTCGGTGATTAGTGAACACGGACTGCAGCGCAATCGACGGGATTGCGTCCTAAACTTTTGGACGCAATCTCGTGTATTGTCGTTGCGCAACAACACATGTTGTTGCGCAATTACTCTTATCCATGATAGCCCAGCAGCTGATAGATCGCGCCTCTCAATAATAACTTCGAATGATCCCACGCATGAGCGGTGGTGTTGTGTTTAGGTCGCTTGCACTATGAACGCCGCGACAACCCCAGGTGTTATTCCCGATCAAGGCGAACATCAGTGGCGAGTGATATCTGAACCGATCCTACCCCAGCTCCCGACAACTTCACAAAACCTGCATTGACCAGCGTGGCGAAGTATGATCAATCTTGACATGAAGCTTTCGTGACTGCATGAATCCATACTCTTTGGTTCTTTCGGTAAAGTAACGTCGGTAGAAAATAAATCACGACGTTTCGGGCGCAACACAAGCGTTCGTCATCAGGTGGGAAAGCATGATCTGCTGACCATGACGGACGCTTGTGTTGCGCCTGAAACGTCGTGATTTATTTTCTACCGACGAGACTTTACTGAAAGAACCAAAGAGTATGAAGATTGATCACACACACACCCCACCCTCCCTCCGAGAGCAGCGTTCTTCATGGCCACGTGCGCGTGCCACTGGCGGCCCCTGGTGGCCATCAAAGTCGTGCTGCTGTCAAAACCTCCGATGGGTTTCAAATCGTGTGGCGGCCCTCTGGCCTGTCGACGTCTTATCGGTGAAAGTGCCACCGCCCCCCCGCTCTGATATAGTGAAGAACACTGCTCTAGACTAACACAGCACACGGACAGGCCTTCATCCAGTAGTTTTATAATTTTTAACTGGATATGATCTGTAATTGCATCACATTAGAAGCTAGATGTATATTTCCCTTCAATAGTTTTTCGTCACAGAATTAGTTTTTTTTACCATTTTCATTATTTACAGCCCTTGATGAATAATCCACTGCTGGATGAAAGTCTCCTCCCCATGCCACGTTGGTTATAGAGATCGTCTGACATACTTCACCATGCTGGTCTCCATCGGTTTGTTGGGGGGACGGGGGCCGGTTGAGATATCTGTCGACACTGACATTATACATGGCTGGGTTATCAAACTCGCCACCGGTCCAACACAGCGAACTGTGGTCAAACAACCCCCCCATGACCAACATGGCAGGAGGCGGGCGTTATCCGGCTGAGGGTTAACAAAAGGGCGCTCACAATGTATTTGTTTCTGGAAATCACGTTTTGATATTAAACTAGCAACCTGGATGTTGTTTGAACGTGACCGTCCCGTCTCTCCCAGCCAGCCAAACTATGAATATTAAAAAGTACAGAGCCCTCTCTACACCTTTCCCTTGCCTTCCCTATCGTAACGTTCTGACCGGCTCCTACAAGACGTGTGAAAAAGAGCTTTATAGCTCATCGGATTCCTCCAGTATAGATAATATACGTTCTGATATCCCAATCTATCTCGATACTTCACTTTGTTTCTAATCTATTTTTCTTGTCCCCTATTTTATCTCCCCCCCCCCCTATCTTTCCCCTCTCTCATGTCTCACCCTCACTCTCCTTATTCCCACCCTTTCGCGTAATGTCAGCACGCACGAACACGGTTCAACGCTGTGGGGTGCGGGTGACGTCACCACCGCGCACGCGCACTTGGGTGCCAGGCAGGAACCCAGCCAGCATTTTTTTTTTTATAATTTCGTATGGCACGATACACCACAATTCTAGTTCACTCGGTGATGTTTATGATCTACATTGGACACTCTACTTAACCTTCTCTGTTGGTAGATCAGAATCAGACTATTTATACTTGAGGAATCCGATTAGCTACAAAGCTCTTTTTTCGCAGATTTCAAGTAAAACTCATTCGGGCCGGACCCAAATACTGCCAACTATCCCAGCGTATTTAAAGAAAACGATCTTACCGCTCGGGATTTCTCTAACGTCTAAGCTGCAGGGAAACGGGCGACTTTCAACGAAACCACCATATCCCACCAACAACGCATTCCTTGCAAAAAAAAATATAGAATTCTTTGTGCGACTGGCCACTTTAGTATCTCACCTACATGAGCACAGAAACAACACGGGGTGCACCGGATAACGTCTTGGCTGACTGAGAGAGACTGGAGATTGACTGCCATGAGAAATTTGACCTTTTCGATGCTTTATGTATACGTCGATGTAGTGCGCAGTGACCAAACAAAACACAACTCGAACATTCTTAACCCAGGCTGTTTGTCCGTGGGCTAAGACACAAACTCAAATCTTTTGTGCACAAGGGCAATAAAGAAAAACGTTCACGTCACGATCCATCGCACGTAACGGCGCTGGAGACAGATCTCGGTCATTCCCGCAAGCTTCGGTCAATGACCAACCATGTGGTGAATGCTGTGACATCACCGCAGCGATAAGCCGGCGTGCCCCGATCCTTGAATTTAAATGGTTTTTTTTATTTAAACGAAACTTCACATTGAAGAAAAAGGTGACGAACGTGGAAGCAGGCCGAGAAAGGTGGTCGAAGCTGCGAGTTAGGATCAAGACCCGAATACGTTATAAGGTCGCACTCGTTATCCACAATGCGCTTGCCACAAATGAGCCACAATAGATTGCTGACCTCGTCAAAGGGCAGCGGCGCCTTTTGGCTGCTCGTCGAACAAGGACGGTCACCGCATCGCGTGCTTTCAGATGCGCTTTCTGCGGCCGTCTGGAACGCTCTTGCTTCCGATATTAGAAAACCATTGGAGCTATGCAACTTTGGAATCATCATCTCGATTGAAAACTCATACCTTAGGAACTACGTTTTGTGTTTAGTTTGTTGTCCTTTCCCCGCACCTCCGATTAGCACGGTTGGCTACGTGCGGTGCGAAACAAGTTCAGCATACACAAATGAAGGATCGCTGAGTGGACGTAGAGATGACAACCCGGGATAGAAATGAGTGGAGAAAGCAGAGCAAGGCAGGCAAGACCACACAAGAGTTGTAGTAAATGCCAGGAAGAAGACCCGACTACGGACATCCTGGAGAACCCAGGGGGGCCCCCGTTCCGTACACCTTCAAGAAGTTTGTTTTGATTGCGGTTGCGTCTCCGACCTCCCACCCCCCCCCCCTTTCCGAATGAAACGCGACAAGGCAGTGGGGGACGTGCATGTGAAATGGACAACGGTTTGCGTAGCCAGGTGTAGGTTTTCCTTGTGAAACAAAACAGAACCGGGGACGTAAAACAAGCAGTAGAAACGTTTCCTCTGCTGTGGCGAATGCGCTGTCACTGAACGGCAAACGCTCCCCCCCGCGGCAGTGTTACGGAATGCCCAGTCACGCTTCACCCCGGTCTGAACTCCCCCAATGATATTCGCGGGCGCAAGTGAACAACAGGGTTTTTTTTGTCGCGCCTTGCATCCTATACACGAGCATTCCCGCGATCATCTTACACTTGCACAGGTGTGAGCATAAACACTTTACTGCGGTAATACTTACGCGATAAACGATTTCTGAAAAGAAGACGCTTCGTAATCTTAATCCGCGCACACCGATCCTTCCACGAATATCACTGTATATTTATACTGTCAAATAATATATAAATACAAACGAACGTTTAATAGGATATTTGTGAGTTTTTCTGAATTTGTAAAAAAATATTTTCCGGCTTAAGGGGGGGGAGGGGGGGGACACCGTGAGCGATCGTACCATCCTTGCGGCACGCGAACGTCCTTTAATGTACAAAAAAAACAATCTGAAAACACCAAAACGTACAACTACTTGTATATACAATCACGCTGGCAGTGCACCCTTGGCAACGGCATTGCCACGGTAGGCAAGGGCATGTTGGCACTTGGACGAGTTTCACAGCGTGCGCACATGCGCGTGCGTACGTGCGTGTGCACGTGCGCTGGCGCCGGCAACAGCGGGGGTCCTCGACGGAGAGACAAAGACACCACATCACACATCACTGCGCCAATACAACCCTGACGACGCGACCACGCCCTCCCGCTCAATAACAAGGGGAGCATCCGATCTGCGAAGTACTGCGCGACACGCACTTTCGGCAAGACCAGGGGGAGGCAACCGACCGACGTCCATGGCATTTATATATATATGTATCGGCGTAAAAAAGAAAAAAAATCGCCCCGTAACGGACGGACACGTGCCCGCGGCCTATTCTCCGCACAGCTGCGTTTCCGCCGGCTGCGCTTCCAGGGACGCCTCCATCGTGAGCAGCGCCTGAACGGTCTCCAGCGGCAGCCGCTCGGTACATCCGTCTGGCCGGCCCGGCGCCACGGCAGTGTCGGGCCCCTCGGGGCCGCGAAGATACGACGCGCCGCACAGCGCAAGTGCCCCGCCGTCGCGAAGCTCCCCGGTCTCGCCGTCCCCACCCTCACCCACCGTCGGCGCGTCGCCGGCGCCGTTCGGCACGGCGCCGCCGCTCGAGGGGCGCGCGCAGCCCGGGGCGACTGGCACGTCCGCGACGGTGCCGCCAACACCGCCGCCGCTGGCGCGTTCGTCCATCGCTTCGTCCGGCGGTGCCACATGCGACAAGGAGCCGCCGTTCGTCGGCAGAGCGTGGCTGGGTATTAGCGCCGGCGTCTCGCCGTCGTTGCCTTGAAGAGGCGGAGGAGGAGGAGGAGGGTGGGGAGGCCGACTGTCGGGCGCGTCTGCCACCGCTCTCATCCCGGCCGAGTCGCGAGACCGGGTTTCTTCTCCCAGGTCTTCGTCGCCGAAGCTGGGCGCGTGAATGATGTGGGCCACTTCGTGCGTGTCGCTCCCCGCTAACCCGTCGCTCCCCGCTAACCCGTCGCTCCCCGCTAACCCGTCGCTCCCCGCTAACCCGTCGCTCCCCGCTAACCCGTCGCTCCCCGCTAACCCGTCGCTCCCCGCTAACCCGTCGCTCCCCGCTAACCCGTCGCTCCCCGCTAACCCGTCGCTCCCCGCTAACCCGTCGCTCCCCGCTAACCCGCCGTCCCCCCCGCCGTGACCGTTTCCGCCGAGCAGCTTCTCGCTCTCAAGGTCACCCATCGTCACCAAGTCGTCCTCACCGAAGCACGGAGCTTTGATGCGCCCGGGGCTGGGTTCTCCGTCGCCCAAACCTGTCCTGGAGACGATTTGCCGCGACAGGGTGGCGCCGCACGAGTCCACCGTGTCGGAATCGGCCGTTTCTCTTTCCCCCGGCAGCTGGTAGAACACGGAGCTCTGTTCTCCATGCTGCTGCTGCTGCTGCTGCTGAGTGTCCTGCAAGCCGGTCAGCTGTTCCGAGTTGGAATCTGTGGAGATCTGGTAATACACCGAGTGGAGCGTGTCGTGCTGCTGATCCACGGTGGGTGACGGAACAGTGCTGGCCATGAGCTGCTGCAGGGCACCGTCGTCTGCTGGCGTCATCTGCTGGTCAGCTGCATCACCGGACGCTGTCGAAACAAACAGAGACATACAGACATCGCCCCTTTAGTCTCAAACGACGGATGGGGCAAGTGCTGTCAGCGAGCGCCTATGAAGGCCGGCACGGTGCACGAGGTGTTGGGTGGCCAGCACCACGTTCCGACCGCCTTTGTCTCCCTAGTCGCGATGTTTACTCCACACCGCACAAGGTACTCATTTGAGGCTGAGTCGACCTACGGGAGACCCAGGACCGGTTCAGATAATCGTCACTGGTGTTGGCCATGAGCAGGAATCGAATTTGGTTCGCCAGATTCATAGTACAGCACACTTAAGTTCTACACAACTGCTTCCCACATACAGACAAATATCACCCATTTAGCCTTAATGGACTGTAGGGGAAAGTGCAGTTAATGAGCACCTACGAAGGCCAACACAGCACATAGACAAAGATCCCCCGTATAGCCTGAACAGACGGTTGGGGCAAGTGCAGTTAGCGAGCACCTATCAAGGCCAGCACGGCACATGAGGGGGTGGGTGGCCATCACCACGCCTGGCCGCCTTTGTCTCCCCAGTGGCGATGGTTACACACTGGACCAGGTACTCAATTGTGGCTGAGTCGACCCAGGGGAGGCCCAGGACCGGTTCAGATAATCGTCACTGGGTGTTTGGCCGTGAGCGGGAATCGAAAACGGGTCGCCAGGTTCGTAGCGCAGCGCGCTAACCACGACACACACATATACACACAAGCAATATCTTATATCAAGCAGTTACAGTGGATTACATTACATATATCAAAATACCAAGTAATATTGTTGACAGCGCTTGTCAATCTACTGTTAAATGAGGGACTCGCAGTGCCGTGTCAATCATCCAGGCCGTTTGACCGTACTTCACCAAGTGGTCTGCACAGGTTGGTGATGCCAGGGGCAGCCTCGGACCGATTTCACCCACCACTGATGTTGTCACTTGCCAACTGGAATCGAACTCAGGCTCACTGGGTTTATAGCGCAGTTTGCTAACTGCTGTACCACCAATCCACCCCAAACTAACACAATCATAATATATCAACCTAGATGACAAAATATCACTTTTCTCAGCAATACTAACAAACAGCAGTGATCATGAGTCACGAGAAGTTTGGGGTGCTCGTGGCAATTGCTCTAACAACTTGCTGGTAGGCCCCTGCTGTAGCCATTACTTCGCCATGTTTGCCGAGTAAGTGCATTTATAAACGCGCAACTCTTACAACCTAGGTTATCACGAGCGCGCAGAACACCTGGTACACACGAGTCTACCTAGCCCAGGGGTCAGCAACGAAAATAACAAGAAGAGTCATTGTCTTCGAATTCGGTAAAAAAAATAATCAATATTTCAAGAGCCGCAATTCACGTGTTGAATACGAGACGGAGGTCTCCTTAATAAACGACGTCACGAAGCAGCCCTTGAAGAGCCGCATGCGGCTCCGGAGCTGCAGGTTGCAGACCTCTGAACTTACCTATGAAATCAACAGAACATCTTGCGTGCGTGCGTGTATGTGTGCACATGCCAAGCACGTTAAGACCACGTGAAGTGTCGAACGCCTGCTGGCAGGAGGTCACGGGCTAGACTCAGGTGCCATGGGTCGACTGACTGAGATGACTGGCCGATGCTCCACCTGTGCCAACTTCACGTGGTCTTAACGTGCACATAGCCTGGCACAAGCGCCTTGGTGACGTCACCGCCACTTAGTGGCGAATAGCGATTGTTGCCGTTGCTGCACGTGCCAAGGCCTTACCATCTCCCGGCACGGACAGTACTTCGTCTCCCATCTCATCCTCAACGCGAGGTCTCTTTCCATTCGGCTCGCCCTCTGCCTCCTCCTACAACACCACCACAGAGAGAGCACACCGACCTCTTGAGTTCAACTCTCCGGAAGTGTAGGAGCTGGCCGCGAGGCTCAGGGTTCAGAGCGTTGAGCCGGCACAGCTCAGATGCTGGGTTCCAGCCCTCTGCCTGTGATGAAACCAGGTGGTCGAGTGCAGTCGGCTGTATGTACGTATGCACCTGCCCAGTCACCGATGATGACGAGACGTAAAACCCATTATGCACTTCAACACGACGGTGAGCCCTGGTTAGTCAAGGCAGTGAGGGGCCAGGACCGGTTCAGATATCACACATCACTGATAGCAGTGAACCGACCAGCCGCTGGGTTCGTAGCACAATGCTCTAGATGTTGCGCCACCGTTCCCCACCGTCCCCCCGTCCCCCTACCCCAATCGGAATACAGTTCGGAAAAAATAAATACGTTTAGTTTGTGTGCGTGAGTGTACGTGCGTGTGTTTGTGTGCGCGCAGGTGACCTGGGAGTGACGCTTGAGGCTCGAGGTCAGGTCGATGCGCGCCGGGTCAACCAGCACGAATTCGTAGCGGAGCGTTGAGGAGTCGAGTGGTGGGCCCACTGCGGAGTTCTCGTCGAGTCCTAGCAACTCTGGGCCCAACCCCAACGATTGGGCCACCTACAAAGACAAAGGTGCACCCGCATGCATAGGCTCAACAGACTTTTGGGGAAAGTGCTGTTAACGAGTAGCACCTATGAAGGCCGGCGCGGCACACGAAGGGGGTGGGGGGTGGCCAGCACCACGCCCGGCCGCTCCTGGCCTCCCGAGCGGCGATGCTTACACAACACACCGGGTACTCATCTTAGGCCGAGTAAACCGCTCAGAAACCGCGTTATAACGATGCACATTCCACGTTGTAACGGAGAGCTTTCCACATTATAACAGCGAGCGTTCCACGTTGTAACGGCGTGCGTTGTAACGGCGTGCGTTCCGCGTTGTGCGAAAATTGTTCCCTAATGGGACAATCACGTCATGGCGAAAAACGCTTTGTGGCGTGAACACCGCGCGTTAAGCGAGGCCTCGCGGTACGACGACACGAATGGTCGTGCAATTGACAGCGTTCGCGTTCAGCTAAAACGAACTTCGTCACCCGCAAGTGGCCGTGGGTGATGGCGGCGCGTACCTGCGTGTTATTGATCTGCAGCGGCGGCTGCGGCGGCTGGCACGGCGGGCTGCTGAAGTGCTCCTCTGCCATTGTCTTCACGTGCCGGTGCAGGGTCTCGAACTCGCGGTAGACGTCCGGGAGGCACGGTCGCTCCGACCGGCCCTTCTCCACCTGCGGCAAACAAGGCGGGCTCGCCAACGGCCTTCGACATCGCAACACGTGCCCTGCATTCTGTTCGGCACGCTCTGACCAGCTCAGTGTAAATTTTTGTTGTTGCTTCTTGTGTCACGGTGGCGAGAAATTAACTACCTCGCCTGGTACACAGGAGGTCGTGGGTTCGATCGCAACACCTGCTGTATATTTGGAGTTTGCGTGTCTCTCGCTCATCATCATCACGGTGGCGAGGAGATGTTAACTACCTCGCCTGGTATACAGGAGGTCGTGGGTTCGATCCCAACACCTGCTGCATATATGGAGTTTGCGTGTCTCTCTCTCTCTCATCATCATTATCACGGTGGCGAGGATATGTTAACTACCTCGCCTGGTACACAGGAGGTCGTGGGTTCGATCCCAACACCTGCTGTATGTTCCCTCTCCCCGTGGTCACGTGGATTTTTTTTCCAGGTTCTCCGGTTTTTCCCTCAACATTTAGAATCAACGTCACGCGTTCATAGTATTTGGCTGCTATACATTTCCACGTGATAAACCACTTTGTTGAGCTATCATATATGGCTAGGTTGCTTCTGAAAAATAGCTAAATAGCTGAGTGGGCCTTACCTGGTAAAATGAAAATAAAAGTTTTAGTTAACTATTTTGTTCTGTATGCTATCGATATAGCACCTCTTTTAAGGTGGTCTGTGGGTATTTCTTGCCAAGTAGCCCACGGCTGAATGTTATTCGTCCGCATCGGCATTTCGAATTAAACCGAGGAAGACGCCAGGTTTTCGCAGCCAATGTAACGAGTGTGTAATTCACTTTTGGTTTCAGCCACGGCAAAGATGTGACCCAGTGTTTGCCGTAACACCCTCCCCGCCACCGCTGCGACTACCGCCCGCGCCGCCACCACCGCCACCACCACCGTCACTGCGTGCCAGCGACTGACGCGCCAGTTATTATTATTATTACCATTCCCATTCCGGCTCGCACACCGTCGGGTGATGAGTCGGAAAAACAAATCGCATTCGAAATATTTTGCGATGTTTCGCCTGATAAATCACGGCAAGCAGGGTGAGGACACGATCCAAGGAGTCGGAATAAAATCCAGGAAGTCATGTTTTTTTAATCAGTATTTGTTTTGTTTTTAAACCACAGTTGCCGAGCACAGGCCCCAAAAGGCTCAAAACATCACGCGCCCAACAACACGCAGCACTAGAGAGCAGGCGTAATAAAGAATAAATGCATTGCTTCAATTGGCCAATGTCAACAATGACGTCACCTGTAAATCGTCGCTGCGCTTCGACGTGGACATTTCCGTTTCGCGACCAACGTTGCGATTCACCGCTTCATCTCTTTGGGTCAGATTGGAGGGCGCGGGTACAGCAGTGCCGATTTCGCGTTGTGCACCCTCAGGCAAATTAATGAAGCTGTCATGCAAATTAATGCGGCCAATAAAGAAATTAAAGCTTCCGTGACTGCATAAAATTACTCATTGGTTTTTTCGGTAAAGTCACGCATGTAGAAATACCATAAAATTATATTAAAATAAATCAATCACTTAAATATAATTTTATGGTATTTCTACATACGTGACTTTACCGAAAAAAACCAATGAGTGAGTGAATGCGGCCCAGTTTATTATGGCTGCTTCAGCACCGCAGGGTAACGCTTTGAGAGCAATCCACAAAATTTCACTATTTGGAACTGGACCGCCGTCCAACACGCCGGTGGTGCTGAAGCAGTAATAAAGTACTGTCACCTTGGTTCACGTGACAATACATTTGGCTGCGTCGGGGTGTAGTAGGGTGTACGACGCACACGTCGGGATAGCGATCGTCGCGTGCGTATAACATGTGGGCCTTCGCGACCAAAATCATCCGTAACGGGTTTTTTTGGGGTTAGATCGCGTAAATACGTCTCGTTCAACCTGCCACCGCCCAATTAGTTTCTGGCTTCCATGAGAGATTCGTTCATGAGGCTATCCACATATACAAGCACAGAGACAATTTCAACCGAGAAGATGGATTCTATCTTAGCAATCATTGGAAAGATTTGATAAACCATTTCAGGTCTTAATTGATTGTTCACGCTTACAGTGGCTTTCAGACAGCATACATTATAAAAAATTTCGTCTCCCCCCTCCTCTTTTCAGAATATAGATGGACTAGTCCTAAATAAACTGCCAAATCGTTGCGCGTGGCGCTAACGTTTTTATAAATAAATAAATGCGCCGTTTAAAAATAAATGTATGCAAACCAACACACCTGAAGACGACCGTTTGAGTTATGGTCGAAACGTCGTGAGAATTTTTTATTGTTTTACATATATTTTATTATTTTGTTGTTTCCCTTCAATGTGACTTTACCGAAAAAACTAAGAATATGAATTACTGCAGTCACGAAAGCTTTAAATCAAAATTTAGTTTTGGTTTGTCACGTAAACAAAACGTGGCAAATTAGTTACTCATTCAGCACACCGGTGTGTGCTGAATGAGTAACCGCACAACGTTGAGAATTTGAGTACTTGCATGGAAAAGTAACCCGAACAATAAAAAAAATCAACTCTAAATGAGATTTCCCATGTCTGGGAAGATCACGGACCTTCTTAAGCAGGAATTGCCAGAGCGTAAGGATGCGGGTGAGACGCGGCAGCACCAGCTCCAAGAGTTCCTCGTCATCGCACCCCTTCAGCAGCTGCTTTGCCAAGACAAAAAAGAAACACAACACACACACGCGCACACACGTACACACGCAATACAGTGGTGAGATGGGCACCGCAAGTGAAGTGATGTTATCTACTGGTATACAGGAGGTAATTAACTTATTTGTTGTCTTTAGTTTGTTCTTCCCCTGCACCTGCGATTAGCATGGTTAGCTACGTACGGTGCACAAGAAGTTTAGCATACATACAGGTCATGGGTTCAAACCCGAACACGACGCCTGCATATTTAGAATTTTCCTATTTCTCCTCCCGTGATCGTGTGGGTTTTTCTCCGGGTCCTCTGGTTCCCCCCCCCCCCCCACATTTATAATCAACATGAGTTTGTGGAGTATTTGTCTACTATAAACGTGATAAGACACTTCACTGAGCTATCATTTGTGGCCAGGTCACCTCTGAAAAAGAGCTATATAGCTTAGTGGGCCTTACCTGGTAAAATAAAACAAAACTGTTTGGTTTTATATTCTTAGTTCTTTCGGTAAAGTCACGTTGAAGGGAAACAATAAAATAATAAAATATATATAAAACAATAAAAATTCTCACGTTTCGACCATAACACAAACACAGGGTCCGTGTGTGACCACATCTCAAGAGGCTGTACAAAGGCAGTGGACACAACTATTTTACAGACAGGCAGTCAGTCATAGGCCTTCATTTGAGTCTATGGGTCTCTGTCAGTTTGAAGTATAGGCATCTATGTGCATCTACGTCAGTCTGTGGGTCTCTATGCCAATCTACGGGCCTCTAAGCGGGTCATGAATATATTGTATCAGTCTATACAATACAATAACAATGTGGATTATACAGCGCATAAATGCAACTGTATTTCAAGACACTGTACAGAAACAGTAAGCATATTTATTGAATAGAGATGCAGTTAGTCATCGGTCTCTATGTGAATCTATGGATCTCTATGTAAGTCTATGGATCCCTATGCAAGTTTATGAGTCTCTATGTGAGTCTATGGATTACTATGTGATTCTATGTGAATCTATGGACCTCTATGCAAGTCCATGGATCTCTATGCCAGTCTAGGGATCTCTATGTGATTCTACGGGACTCTAATGTGAACCGATGGATCTCCGTTTGAGTCTACGGGTCTCCGTGTCAGGCGCCTATACACTACGATGCAACGCGTATTCGCAGAGCGATGTAAATGGGGCCGCGTCACCTCGACGCGCGAGCACGTCACACCTCTCTAAGCTGCGTCTTCTTCTTCTGCAGCTGCTGCTCCTGAACGGAAGGCCCGCCCGGGTTCTTGGGAGGCCTTCCGGGGCGACGGGAGGAGGGCACGGGGGCCACGGCTCCGACAGGCGACGGCTCCTAAACGGAGGGAGGCCCGCACGCGTCACGTTGGTCGCAGAGGGATGAGAGGGTAGTCGGCTTTGACGATCGCGGGGTGCTGGGTGGAGGGTGAACAAATCCTGGTGAACTGCCAAATGTTTTCAGGCAAGGACCATCTCTTGTTATATTTGGGTCCATATAATACACCAGCACGGTTGGCTACATACGGTGCAAAAGAGGTTCAACATACATACATCATGGTGGGATTTTTTTTTTACTTACCTTTTCCACAACTGCGCTTGTGCTTATTTTGCATTTCATGCCGAAGGTCCACACATTCCTCAAAAGCACACGGCCACTAAGCATCTGCCACCACTCATACCTGCCGCTGCTGTTGCTGCTGCAGCTCAGAAACAGACGGCTGCTCCGCTTGCACAAAGTCAGACGCGGCGATGAATTCCGACTCCGTCAAACTTCCCGCATCGGCGACACTCGCCGGACCCTTGTCCGCCAGTACCTCCACCGGTGCAGACAGTGACGCTGCCTCCCCCATCATCTCACCACCATCACCGCCACCACCGCCACCGTCCCCATCATCACCGCCACCACCACCCCCGTCTTCATCGCAAGCCGTGGCGGCAACGGCATTGTCCTGCTCGTCCGCCAGCGGCTCCAATCTTCCGTGCGTCGGGTTCAGCCGGTAGTGGCGCGCCAGCCCGCCGCGCCCGATGTACGACTTGTCGCAGTTCTGGCAGAGGAAGTTCTTGGGCTTGACGGTGAAGGTGAGCGGCCCGTGGAGTCGCTCCTCCTGGGTCTCGCCCACCTTGGCCTTGCGCTCCTCCTCGCCACCACCCTCCTCCACGCTGTAGTCCGAGTAGTCGTCTGAGTCCGACTGGTGCCCGTCGGCGAGGTCCTCCATCCTGATGAACTTGTAGTCCTTGATCTTGTGCAGCGGCGGGCGCGAGATGCGACCGGAACGCGTCTTGATCTTCGCCAGCCTCTTCAAGTGCTTGTTGCCGGCCGACCTGCGAACGTTCCCGGGTCGTCCTGTCACCACCGCTGCTTGCTGCTGCTGCAGCTGCTGCTGCGCCGTTTCACCGGTCAGCACGACCCTCTGCCCGTTGGTAAGACCAATGCCCGGCACCAACCGGATGGTGGACACGGGCCCGAGCGGAGGAGGCTGGCGCTGCGATAGGATGCGGATCGCGCTGGTGCCTGTGCCTGTGGTGCACAGGATGAACTGCTGAGGTTGGTCCTGCCCCACGGCCTGGATGTGAAAGATCTGAGCGGCGGTGCTGGCGATGGGAGCCATGGTGGTGGCGGCGGCGGCAACGGTGGTACCGCCGGGCTGGCTCGACACTCGCGGTTGAACGAGCGCCAGCGGTGGCATCGTCCGCTCCTTGTCCTGTTGGACACACGGATCACAACGCCGATTGGCAACGTCATCATCATCGGCCACGAGATCAGCCACGAGATCAGCCACGATCTCATCAAGTTGCATAAACCATCTACGTCACGATGGCAGCAGCGGCGGCTCTTGGCAGGCCATCGAACAAAGACGGCCACCGCATCGTGCGCTTCTGCGCCCACGTGGAATGTTCTTCCTTCCGACATTACGAAGCCACATGAGTTATGCACTTTTAAATGTAGACTGCAAATTAATTTAATTAGAACTGCTTTTTGTGTTCAGTTTGTTGTCCTTCCTCCGATTAGCACTGTTGGCTACATACGGTTCGAAAGAAGTGTCAACATACATACGTCACGGAGAGGAGACAATTATAGGCCAGAGGAGAAAATGTACATGGGTAGGCAATCAACAACATTTATGGGGGAAGGGAGAATGTACTACTTGGAAGGCAGCAGAGGAAAATGAGCTATGATGGCAATCGGTGATGATGATAACGATTGTTCAACACAGCCCAAGTGCACGTCTGCAATCACACAAACAGATGTCAAAGATCTCTCCTCCACTTTTCCACGTGCACACTTGGGCCTCAACACAGCACACGAAACCCCAACGGTCCCCACAGCGACCAGGGAGGGCCTGTCCACATACAGCCCACGAAGCACATTGGCGGTGAAAGTGGCGACTGGTGACATGTCCACTAGGTGGGGCTGTTGTGAGTGACCTCTGAAAAATATGGTGTTCGAATTCAGCAAAAATCTCGGCATGTTATTGGCCTTCCCGTTAAAGTGATACAACTATCTCATCCACCAACAGTGAGGCATTTATAAACAATACGAAACTAAACAACAAAGCACTCAAATGCTTACTCTTTGGTTCTTTCGGTAAAGTCACGTAGGTGAAAATAAACTAACTAAATTAAATCACGACGGAAGCTTGTGTTGCTTCCGAAACGTCGTGATTTAATTTAGTTATTTTAATTTTATTTTCTCACCTAAACGACTTTACCCAACGAACCAAAGACTTTGGCTCCTTGCAGTCACGAAAACTTCAAATCAAGAATTCACTCAAATGCTGTCTCCATGACCCTCAAAAGTCCACACTACGCAAACCATTTGACACTTCTAGATTTGAAGCTTCCGTGACTGCAAGGATCCATACACTCTTTGGTTCTATTCGGTAAAGTCACGTAGGTAAAATAAAAATAAAAAAAATCACGACGTTTCGGCCACAACACTTCGGTAAAGTCACGTAGGTAAAAAAATTAAAGACCAAAAATCACGACGTTTCGGCCACAACACAAGTGACTTTACCGAATAGAACCATTTGACACTGCCAAAAGCTTCTATATTTGCACAGTGCAACCTCGCGTTGTGACATCGTCTCATTGCAGCCACGCGCGCCTTTGTGTTCACCGCCTTGAATGGGTCTCAAACGGCGTGGCTACAATGCGAGCAGCTCATCGCGACGAAAGGAAATCTCTCGGGCGCCTTCACAGCCACCCCCGAGACCTCCCCGAGGCACAAATGAAGACTGTGGCGTTGCAGCCGTTTCTAATACGAACTTAAAATGTTATCTTCACGTCGAAAGAATCATTCTACTTTTTAAAAAATAAGATATTTTAAAACACAAAACTATTTAAAGAAAAGTATTTTTTTTATTAGAAAAAAATCTACAGCGGCGCCCTCTAGTGGACGAACCGCGCCTGGGTGGCAGTAAGGGCGATGGTGGCCACACTGCGCTGATGATTCCTTAAATCAACGAAACCTGTAGACGTTTATCGCATTGTTCTGCTGATGCCGTCTTAAAATAATTCCGCAACAATTTTAGCTCGACTTGTTACCTGCCTGCATGCACTTTTGTGACTGATGATTATATTATGTCATAATTTTTAAAAGTTATAATTTGTTTGTCAAATATTTTTTTAACAGTAGCATCCACCGGACGTGGATAAAAATCACAAAGACGAAAATACAAAGACACAAACACAGCCAACACCACAATGACACAGACAACACAAACACACACAAACACAGCCAAAACGAAACACAATACCACAAACACAGCCAACACGAAACAATACCACACAATGACACAGACAACACAAACACAGCCAACACGAAACCACACAATGACACAGACAACACAAACACATACATACAAAGACACACAAACACAGCCAAAACACAGACAATACCACACAATGACACAAACAACACAAACACACACAAAGACAAGATCCCTCGTACAATTTTAACAAACTGTTGGGGGCAAGTGCTGTTAGCGAGCACCTATGAAGGCCGGCACGGTACGCGAGGGGGTGGGTGGTCAGTACCACGCCCGGCCGCCTTTGTCTCCCTAGTGGCGATGTTTACACATCGCATCAAGTACTCATTTGAGGCCAAGTCAACCGAGCGGAGACCCAGGACCGGTTCAGAACACGCACACATACGAACAGACACACACACAGACAAAAACATATTGACGCATAGATTCGAACACACCAACAAACACAATATTTGCTCACACACAAACAACAACTTACAAACATACAGACGCAAACACGGACAGCACCAGTGAGGAGGCTATGGTAGCCACGTGCACTCCTCCTTGGATCAGTTGGGCAATGCTAACCTCATGCTCCTGTTGCAGCTCCTGTTGCAGCTCCTGTTGCTGCTGTTGTTCTTGCTGTTGTTGCTGTTGTTCTTGCTGTTGTTGCTGTTGTTCTTGCTGTTGTTGTTGCTGTTGTTGTTGCTGCTGTTGCTGCTGTTGTTGTTGCTGCTGCTGCTGTTGCTGCAGCTGCTGCTGCAGTTTTTGCTGCAGCTGCTGTTGCAGCTGCTGCTGCTGCAGCTGCTGCTGCTGCAGTTGCTGCTGCTGCAGTTGTTGCTGCTGCTGCAGTTGTTGCTGCTGCTGTTGTTGTTGCTGTTGTTGCTGCTGCTGTTGTTGTTGCTGCTGTTGTTGCTGCATCAGCACCTGCGCCACACCTTGCAGTTGCTGAGAAGCACTCTGAACAACCACCTGCTGCTGCTGCAGCTGCTGCTGCAATTGCAGCTGTGACAAGGGCAACTGCAAGATCTGGGCGCTCCTCGTGCCATCAGTGGCCATGTGGTGGGTCTTTGTAACGTGGGCTATGACCCGTTGGAGTTCGTCTGGCCCAAGTCCAATGTGAATCTGCTGCTGCTGCTGTTGCTGATACTGCTGCTGAACTTGTTGATGGTCTAAGTGTTGCTGTTGTTGGTGAACTTCATGATCCTGCTGCTGCTGTTGATGCTGCTCGTGTTCATCTTGTCCTTGCTGCTGCAGATACTCCTCCTCCACCACCTGCTGCTCTTCATCTTGCTGCTGCTCTTCATCTTGATGCTGCTGCTGCTCCTCCTGATGCTGCGTTACCTCCTCGTACACGTGCGTTTCAACATCGCCAACATCACCATGACCACCACCACCATCATCGCCGCCGCCGCCCATCATCTCCATGAAACCCTGCTGCCTGCCCAGTTGCTCCGCCATCTCTTGGGTCAAACCCTCGCCCTGGAGGTAAGAGCCGTCCTCTGCTTGCACGAAGATGATCGTGCCTTCCATGGTGGACATTTGCACGGCGTGGACATCACCACCACCATCATCACCACCATCACCACCACCATCATCACCACCATCACCACCACCATCATCACCATCACCGCCGCCGCCGCCGCCGCCTTCATCACCAGCAACCTCGCTCGCCTCCATGCCCGATCCTTCCGTTACCTCTGAATCCACGTAGCAGAGGCCACGGCCATCAAGAAAGAGGTCACCTCCTCCGCTGACCGCCGTGGCCTCGCAGCTCAGTTGGAGTCCCACCCCAGCCAGAGGCTCCTCCACCTCCTCCTCCACCACCTCCTCCCCCACCTCCTTCACCACCACCACGACCATCTCCTCCTCCTCCTGCCGTGGGCCCGTGTCTCCTACTATCGCCGCCACGTGCGCAGGCGGCTCCTGGGTTGACGATGAGGAGGTTGAGCATGTGGAGAGATGAGCGAGAGATTGTTGTTGTTGCTGCTGCTGCGCTGGTTGTTGTTGTTGTTGTGGCGTTGTTGTTGTTGATTGCGGGAGAGGCGCGGTACCACATCTCTCGCTGTCGGCCATGTTCGTTGCGAGGGCCTCGCCGGTCTGGTGATGTCACCAGACGGAGGTTTTACCTCCAGATTCGGAAGGCTGGAGCACGGTTGACAGATCAGAGGTTTTTTTACCCTCCAGATGCGGAGGGATGTTGGAGGGATGTTTCATTTCAAGTTTCATTTATACTGGTAGGAAACGTAGTGTACTGGAAGCCCAACCGGGATCTCTGTGTGAGTCTGTGGGTCTTTGTGTGAGTCTATGGGTCTCTGTGTGAGTCTATGGGTCTCTATGTGAGTCTATAGGTCTCTGTGTGAGGAGTCTATGGACTCTGTGTGAGTCTATGGGTCTCTGTGTGAGTCTATGGGTCTCTGTGTGTCTGGGTCTGTATGAGGAGTCTATGGGTCTCAGAGTGAGTATATGGGTCTCCGTGTGAGTCTATGGGTCTCTGTGTGAGTCTGTGGGTCTCTTTGTGAGTCTGTGGGTCTCTGTGTGAGTCTATGGGTCTCTGTGTGAGTCTATGGGTCTCTGTGTGGTGAGTCTATGGACTCTGTGTGAGTCTATGGGTCTCTGTGTGAGTCTATGGGTCTCTGTGTGTCTGGGTCTGTATGAGGAGTCTATGGGTCTCAGAGTGAGTATATGGGTCTCCGTGTGAGTCTATGGGTCTCTGTGTGAGTCTGTGGGTCTCTGTGTGAGTCTATGGGTCACTGTGTGAGTCTATGGGTTTCTGTGTGAGTCTATGAGTCTCTGTGTGAGTCTATGGGTCTCTGTGTGAGTCTATGGGTCTCTGTGTGTCTATGGGTCTGTATGAGGAGTCTATGGGTCTCCGAGTGAGTATATGGGTCTCCGTGTGAGTCTATGGGTCTCTGTATGAGTCTGTGGGTCTCTTTGTGAGTCTATGGGTCTCTTTGTGAGTCTATGGGTCTCTGTGTGAGTCTATGGGTCTCTGTGTGGTGAGTCTGTGGGTCTCTGTGTGAGTCTATGGGTCTCTGTGTGAGTCTATGGGTCACTGTGTGAGTCTATGGGTCTCTGTGTGAGTCTATGAGTCTCTGTGTGAGTCTATGGGTCTCCGTGTATGTTGGTCTTCGTGTGCGTCCATGGGTCTCCGAGTGAGTATATGAGTCTATGTGTGAGTCTATGGGTCTCCGTGTGAGTCTATGGTACTGTGCGAGTCTATGGGTCTCCGTGTGAGTCTATGGGTCTCCGCGTGAGTATATGGGTCTCCGCGTGAGTATATGGGTCTCCGCGTGAGTATATGGGTCTCCGCGTGAGTTTATGGGTCTCTGTGTGAGTCTATGGGTCTCCGTGTGAGTCTATGGGTCTCCGCTTGAGTCTATGGGTCTCCGCTTGAGTCTATGGGTCTCCGTGTGAGTCTATGGTACTCTGTTCGAGTCTATGGGTCTTCGTGTGAGTCTATGGGTCTCTGCGTGAGTCTATGGGTCTCCGCGTGAGTCTATGGGTCTCTGTGTGAGGAGTCTATAGGTATTTGTGCGAGTCTATGGGTCTCCCAACATCCACTCACAAACTTAAAGTGACCTCTTCACTAGGGGGCGGTGTTAGACAACGAAACGACTCTCAATTTGTATAAAGTTTTCACACATAGAGGTATACAAAATTCACCATTGCGGTCTCATTATTATTAAGATCTGGGATGTAATCTGATTATTTAAGTAATAATCGATTACTCTACCGATAATCAGTCCGATTACTCGACTAATTAGATAACACCAAAATCACGAAGTTTTAGAGAGGTCTAACCTCTGTTCGCACGTGTGTGCCGATTGACGGGAGGTGATGATCGGGATTGGTAGCGTACGGTAATCGGTTGAGGATCCCAGTAAACATATAACGTTGGCCCAACGTTGGTCCAACATTGGCATGTTTACTGAGATGTCTTATCGGGCGTGATCCCTCCCCCGTATAAGTCAAACACATTGATATAAAACGACGCGAACTCGTCTTTAGCTAAGAGCCACCTTTAATAAAATAAAAACAAAAATGTTAAGACTCTCGTCGAGTTTTGCATTACAATGGCAAACGAATAACGCTTCTAACCTTCACCACAGTGTTAAATTCAACAACAATATGGCCATTTCCACAGAACTCGCATCAAAGAATCGTCGCTGAAAGTGTAGCATGAGACCTTACGCACCCCAGATATGGCCAGCATAAGTTCAAATCCCAGCCAGGGTTGACTCATACCCATCATCATCATCAACTCTATTGCCTCTGTGGTTACTAAAACTAGTAGCACTTTGATGACGCTGCAGCCAAGCCGTTATGACGATGGTCACGGATAAACCATGGGATGGCAGCCAAGGAATGGGGGTGCGTGTGTGACAGGACGTCGACTGAGCGTTGAGATGAAGCAATTAAATCAGCTCGTGAGTTCAGGCGCTCCTGTTTGTTACACTGCAGGATCGTGAGAGAAGGCAATGGCTTGGGAAAGCCTTCATACAGCAGTGGATTGATCAAGGCTTGGCGATGTTGACGATGATGATGCTGCATCATTTGGCAGCAAATCAAGTGGTTGTCCTTTTCCACGGACGTACCTCGGCCAGAGGAATGTGGAAATCACACCACTGGCTCCACGCTAATTTGTGAACACTGGAACACCAAATAACCTTTATTTTTTTACTCAAAGTAGTGTCCCTGCACATGTAACAGCTTTTTTTTCAAATATTAATAATTTTTACTATGAAAACATAAACGACAGGTGGTTAAAAAACAGGACAGCAAAGTCAGGTACTCTCTGTTAAATCTACGCAGTCGGCATAAACCAAGGGTGGAGATAATTTTCCTTGCCCCCAATAACAAGACAAATATCCCCCGTATAGCATTTAACATACTGTTGGGGGCAAGTGCTTGTTGGCAAGCACCTCTTAAGGCTGGGACGGCACACGAAGGGGGTGCGTGGCCAGCACCGCGCCCAGCCGCCTTCGTCTCCCCAGTGGCGATGCTTACTACACGCCGCACCAGGTGCATACTCATGTGAGGCCGAGTTGACCTAGGGGAGGCTCAGGACCGGTTCGGATAATCGTCGCCGGCATTGGTAGCCGTGAGCGGGAATCGAACTCTCGGGTCGCCGGGTTCTAACCGCTGCGCCGCCGCTGCCCACAGCTGAGACGTCATGGCTAAAACGGATGCACGCCTAAACGCAAGTTATCCAAGAGTAATGTGAAAAATTACGCACCGCATATGGGGGGGTGGGAGCTGGTTCCCTGGCAGCAGCAGAATTGACTCGAGCATGACACTAAATTTAGTAACGGCGTTGCCAGGTCAAAAATATTGCCCCTCGTCGGAGGTTTCTTTTTTCAATCGGGTCACCGGCCGAAAGACTTTCACTCGGTGGCACACGATTCGTAAGCCACAGCCACATCGCGAGAGGTATACTGGAGGTGGCGTGCCACGTGTGGAAATATTTTCCAGCTCGCCGACCCGGACAGACCCGGCTAAAATGAAGGCCTGAACTCCGGCCAAAGGCGCATTAACCTCACACAGCCGTCACCCCGTGACACTGGTGACCTGCCGCCAGGTCGAAAAAAATTTCTCTCCAATAAACGATTAGTGGCGGCTTAAGACGCTTGCAGTGGCGGACAGATGTTGTTTGCAAGGATGCCTTTCGAAATGGTGACCCTCCAGTGGCAGCCACGGGCCGTACACAATAAAGTCGTTGGCCACATTGGGCCCGTGTGGACCATTGGGTTCCCGCCACCCCTGGCATAAACCGTGACATAAGTTTGCGATAACAAAGCCACAGGTGGTGTATCATAGCTGCTTACTCCACTGACAGGTATCTCGCGCTTCAGATCGCACCGCAGTTAAAATTCAGCATCAACTTAAATACGACGGTCCTTGATGCTTTTAAGATCCTTAAATGGACTTACTCCATTCAGTCTCTAAATTCACATTAAGGTGAAGGCTACCCAACATCCCTGGCTGGGACAGTCCCGGCTGCGATTTCAGAAAAGGCCGTTCCTTACCACCCACCTCCCCCCACCCCTCTCCTTTTCTAGCCAGGTTTTCGCCAAAATCATTGCATGAATGCACCGATCTCGTCAAATGCTAAGCAAGATTGAACCGGATTTGTACTGAAATTATAGACTGCCTGGGAATACCATGTATTTTAGGATTGGACTGCGGAGGTGACCTGGAGATGGCAGTACAATGGATTAGTGAATCCATCTGTGCGGAGCTTTGACTGTTATTCTCTCTTCTTAATACGTAGTGGGTTAACTCTGGGTACTCTGGGTTTCATTCCGCATAAAGAAAACGAATATCATTCACGGAATTGAACAAAAATCCAGAATTCCCCAGGACCATCCTGAATAAGAGTGCGGAGTCTCAGGCGAGTCTTTCCTGAATAAATATAATTATTGTTAATGTGTTCCCTTCTCTCCTCCCTTTTGTCTTCCACCTGCAAAACACCACCACCACCCTCACGTCACACAAAAAAACCAGGACATATTTCTCCGTCAGCATGAGGTCTATTATCTCACAAATGTGCTGCATTCTACCGCAACAAACTTCAACGCAACGCCGCTCTGCCGATACCAGATCTCGGCATAAATCAACTCCTGCCACCCGAATCACAAGACGCCAATTCCTGGAGTGTCCTTGCCAACCCAGGACAGGTGGCAACCCCGACCTCATGTCCACAATTTTTAAGGGCACATTTGCCAGAGAAATATCAAGACATGCGGTCACATTCAGACGCTTGATAAATTCATTTATATTATTACCAGTTAATAAAAGGACATTGGAAATTGTCCCATGAGCTTTACTCTGTACCAGCTAATGGTTATAAGCACCTACACATTATTTTTTTGTATTTTATATATACAGTACGTTTGCATCTATGTGCGTGTCAATCAAACTGAGGGTAAAACCGGAGAGGTCACACAAATTCATTCACGCCAAGTCACTGGCAGGTTTGCGAGTCGTGTGGCTGTTGGTTAACGTGTGTGAAGTTGCGTTTGTTGTTTTTGTGTGTGAGGTTTGTGGACGCGATCGTTGCCGTGTGCGTGCGCGTGACTGTGCGCACGCGCGCCTTGTGTGTGCGCGTGTGTAAACTTGCGGTGGTTATTGGTTATCGTGCTGTGCTATTCACGATTCGGTTGATGTCAGAACTTGTGCAAATATCCTCAAAAATAGCGGCGCGCAGCCTCACAGGATACGAAACAAAAAGGCGGTGCGCAGTCGATCGCACCGGCCGCTCCAGTTTGCTACAACCGTGGGCGCACTTCGGTCAGGCTCCAGAACTCCTGGAACACAGTTCGAACGGTCTCGGATGGATGGACGGACAAAACGGACGGACATAATTCCAAAACAAGACGGCCGCTGTTGTTCTCGCTCGCTCACTCGCTCGCTCGCTCGTTCGCCTGCCAGTCAACGCGACAACTTCCACCCGCTTCTTTCTTCGTAACAAACAACGACGACGTGAACTCGAACATCAACAACAACAACCAAATACCAACACCGCCAGCTTAGCATCTCGGCTGGCGTCGGATCACCATTTCTGAGAGCGAGAACGACATTGGGCGATTGGCGATGGCGACGGTGGTGGCAGTGGTGTGGCGGTGGTGGCGGCACCGTCGTCATCTTGGGATTTTGGGGGGTTGGGGTTAGGCCGCGACGACGCAAGACGACCCGCGGCGACGTCTCTCACGACGACTGCTGCGGCTCCACGTCGGACCACAGGAAGGCGAGGAGGAAGAGCGCGATGTCCGGCGACATCCAGTACGACGTGTGCGACGTCACGGCCGACCAGTAGCGGCTCTCCACCAGTCCCTCGCGCAGCTCGAAGTCCATGCGGTACTCGAGCTCTACCGCGGGGGGAGGGGGGCCTGGGAGTGATGGCAGCCGGAGGGGGGGAGGGGGCGGCAAGAGACAGTAACCGGAGGAAACTCAACGCTTACGATGGGGAGAATGTTTAGAACAACAATAAAAAATAAACATCGGATTGATATATTATTACTATATATTTAGAGAATACCTTATTTGAAGGTGCTTTTTTTCAACAAGTATAACATTGTACATGAGATGATAGCGGTTGAAATAATAACGAACGGGGTTGTTATGAAAAAGTTGTGTTGGTAGTTATGGTGACAGGAGAACAGGTGGCAGTGGTTAAAGAGAAGTTGGGGTAGTGATAGGGGTTGGGGTGGTGACAGGGGTTGGGGTAGGCCTGGTCATAGTTGCGGGGCAGAGGCAGGGAGTAGCAGTAAGATGGACTAGGGAGAAGAGATGATACACAACACAACCGCAAAAAAACATGGAGTAATCTTATGAACAGCTGCATTTTATACCGTGCCTAAATGCAATCACCTCTCCAGACGCTTCACAAACATAACCAATTAAGGAGAAAATGAAATTATGCAAATGCACACATTCTGTAATGCTTTGCAACACGCCTTTGTCTCAGTGTTTAATTGTCAGCCATGAAGCCGATGAGGGAGCCGTCAGGGAAAAAGAGCATCGGCAAATTTACAAATTTATTCCAAGTTGTAGGCAATAACCCCTTTGATCAACGTGTCCGTTTTGAAAATGGGTGACTCCCTCATAGCAACACAATATTACACTCAGGAGCTCTAACGTACATCGGATCATCTTCACGACAATCGTGCCTCGCCCGTTACAGACGGACGGACCAATATCCCCAACGGACGGACCAATATCCCCAACGGACGGACAAGAGCCAACGCACAATCGCTTCAAACCCGCCTACCGAACCTCCCCCAACCTCCCCCCCCCCCCGTCACCCTCTCACCAGCTCCTTCCTGCGCCGTAGCCTGCATGGGCTCCAACTCCGCCGGGTTCGGCAATCCGCTCGGCATCTGCCTCACTCCCACACCGTGCATCAGCGGCACCTGCGCCATCAGCCGCTCCGCGTCGGGCATCCCGATCGGCAGCTCCATCGGCAGCGGTGGCGGCACCAGCGGGAGCGGCAGCAGCGGCAGTGGCGGTGGTGTTGTCGGTAGCTCGCACGGCTCTCTGTGTTGTTCCCCGTGGCTTGCAGATGTGGATTCGCCGGTCGGTGAAACCTCCCCAGTGTCGGCATCGCCCTCGGATTCTGTGACGCCTGTACCGTACGACCTCGACAGGCGCGACAGGATAATGCCGCCCAGACCCTTTCCCAGGGTGGCAGCACCTGTAGGGGAAGTACACGTGAACACAGGCGTGTACGCGTGTCCACTCACTCACAAAGGTCCCCCAGTACAGCCTGAACAGACTGTTGGGACAAGTGCTGCGAGCGAGTACCTATGAAGGCCGGCACAGTACACGAGGGTGTGGGTGGCCAGCACCACACCCGACCGCCCTTGTCTCCCCAGTGACGATGTTTACACACCACACCAGGTACTCATTTGATGCCGAGTCGACCTAGGGGAGGCCCAGGACTGGTTCAAATAATCGTCACCGATGTTGGCCGTGAGCGGGAATCAAACTCGGGTCACCGGATTCATAGCACAGTGAGCTAACCACTACACTACCGCTTCAAACACAATGTAAAAGAAAAATGTGAATCTGTTCTCATCGATTTTATAATTTTTTATCTCGTCGGAAATTTCCACGGGGAAAATGAAAGCGCTCAAAATTCATAAACAATTGAAAGCCTCGATGCATTTTTGATGGTGTGTAATCTTAACCGGTGCCATTAGACGGGTTCTGTGACAACGGATGCTAAACACACATGGGATCACACATTAATTTGCTTCCAGTGCAAAAAAAAATACAAACGAACTCAGCCTGGCCTTTCCTAGAGAATCGGGAGTATTTTTAGATTATAATTGCTTCTGGATTTTTTGTTGACAAGACACACACGATTAACAACTGTTCCGAATAAACGTGTGCATTTTTGGATATCACTCGGTGGCGAGTGATATCCATATCCAAACCGAATCTGGGCTTCTCCTAACTCCATCGGCCCCCAGCTGTAAGGTCCAAACAACCACCATAACCGACACGGCATGCGGGGGGAGGCCTTCATCCGGCAGTGGATTGACAATGGGCTGTAAGTTGTTATTTAATTGTATCCTTTGTGGTCATTCCCTGGACTCTCCTGTCGCCCCGGCTAGTTCACACTTTGTTTACCCCATGGGGGTACCCTTGGTTTAGATCAGAGGTTGGCAACCTGCGGCTCCAGAGCCGCATACGGCTCATTAAGGACCGTTTCGTGACATATTCTTGGTTCTTTCGGTAAAGTCACGTAGAAGGGAAACAATAAAATAATAAAAATATAAAACAATAAAATTCTCACGACGTTTCGACTGCAACACAAGCAATCATCATCAGGTGTGAAAACCACAAGTGAGGCTCGCTGTCCCAGTTCACGATGATGGTCATGATGATGATGATGGAGTCTCGCGGTTTTGATGATGTGTGAGAATTTGGAAATGTTAGCGGTCAACATGTGCGCGGGAGGTTAGACACGACCAAACCGCTCCTCCTAAACCGTTTTCCCCAAATAGTTCCACCAACTGCTCACATAGTCACTTTAAAATGTTTTTCTTGTTCGTGTTTTTGTTTTTTTGTTTGTTGTGGTTGCACCCGATTCAAGAGCCGAATGGCTCACAGGGTTATACCAAAATAAATAGAATAAATAAATAAATAAGCATGAAATAATCTGGGCTCCGAAGCGTGTCGCCACATACAGATCAAATATATTTTCTAGTCTGTCGGCGATTAACGGTCTCACTTGTTAGTATCGGGGCGAGATGACCGGAGGTCTATACACTTATAAAATTAACTTCTCACATGGTTCCAATTCACCAATGAGGATTTCGCGCTCATAAACGTCTCATTACTGCCACTGGATTCTGTGCCATAGGTCGAGTAGCCTGCGGTCCCCGCCACGTCAGAGCGCTCGCCGCGCCGCAGCGCGTCGCACGTAGTGTCAGTTTTCCGACAGCAGGTCTAATAACAGCGTGAAAGCCGAGAGAGAGTTCTGCTCTCACGAAGTATACGTTGAAGATACGTTCTGCTCCAGTTGCGCGCTCACCCATGATGCCGGCTTTGCCCAGGTTGGTGAGCGACTCGCCGTAGTATCGCCGCGGGAGTGCCGGGGAGCCACCGGGGCTCACGGGGCTGTCGGGCTCCCACGCTGGCCCCGCCGCCGTGCCGCCGGCCCCGCCGCCAAAGCCACCGTCGGCGCTCATCCATACGGGCCGCAGCGAGTCGTAGCGCGGCCGGCTCACCGCGCTGCTCCAGTGGATCTGCACCGGCTGAATGGCGCTGTAGTGGCGCAGGATGAGGGGCTCCAGGCGGTAGGCCTACTCAAAGGGGAGAGGGGCAAAGGGTTTGATGTCAACATTAAGGAGTCCTGAACGCTTCCCCGCTGGAGTGGGCGAGGGGTCGTGCCGTTATCTGACCGTTGGCCCCCGAGCCAGTGGTGGAATCACTCGGTCGGGTTCACGCTTGGCGACTGTCGTCGCCGCCAACCCCTACCGGCAGGCTCATGCCCATCTGTTTTGCAGGCCAAATGCCGAGTCACCTCGTGCCGCACAGGAACCGCTGTCACTGGGGAGTGCCTCCTTTCAAATGTTTGAGACGAGAGGTGATGTACTGTAATGCGCTCTTGAGATGTGCCGGCGTATGGCAGGGCGCTAAATCAAAAACAAATCATCACTGTCATGACTAGAATGTGCATTTATATAGCGTCTCGTTGTGGCTGGGCAAATGATTGGGAAGGTAGGTAAATGGTTGGGGGAGCAGAGGGGGTAGGTGGATGGGTGGATGGCTGGCTGGATGGGTGCGTGGGTGGCTTGGTTAACTTGGTCGGTGAAATAGAAGGTAGGTGAATGGGTGGCTGTATTGATGAGTGGATGGGGCTGCGTGGGTGCGTGTGTGGGTGGGTAGCTTGGTAGGTGAATGGAATGGTAGGCGAATGGGTGGCTGGACTGAGGGGTGAATGGCTGCCTGGGTGCGTGTGTGGGTGGGTAGCTTGGTAGGTGAATGGAATGGTAGGCGAATGGGTGGCTGTATTGATGAGTGGATAGGGCCGGCTGGTTGCGTGGGCGAGTGACTGGGGCACGTGATGGGTGAATCAGTGGAAGACAATGCCGTAGTGTCAGGAGGCACAAAAGCGCCGTGAATTCAGTCGCACCACTGGGTCGGTCGGGTGGAAGATGTTGAAGAGGCGGCGGCACACGCTCTTGGGCAGGATATGGTGGGGGGAGCCGCTGCTCCCCGGTCGTACCCCTCGCAGGGCCAGGAACACCGCCAGCGGTGACCCCATGCAGAAGAAGTTCTCCACCTTCACGCCAGACATCCAGCTCGTCAGCCACGAACTATCCACTGCTTGGTGTCTCCAAGCAGTGGATAGTGAGTGGGATACACGGCCGGGGTGATGGGTGGTGGGGTGGGAGGCGTGACATCGGCACGACGCAGGGCACCCGGCTCCACACTGTGGGATGTGGGTGATGTCACATCCAGCCAGCCAGCCAGGAAACCAGCCAGCCAGTAAAACTTTTCATGAATATCGTATGATATGAAATCCTCTGAGCCACCTGGCCACTTCATGGACTTTCGTTTAAACAGAGAACAGTTCCACGATTTAATTTCAGAGATTTTAATGTGGGTAATCATTCGTATAATCAGGGAGTGGCTTTTGAACTCGGGCAAAGCGTGTCCATCAGTTGGAACTGTAAATTCAGATTATAAATGACATGTTCTAACTTTTTTGTTGGTAAGGCAGAAATACTCAAAACATACCGCAGTGTCGGACATACTCAGACAAAATTGAACGTGTATGCTTTTTGAGACCAAACTCTGACCAACTAGGTACAGTGGCAAGATGTTAACTCCCTTGCCTGGTATACAGGAGGCCGTGTATATTTGGAGTTTGAATGTTCTCCCCATGGTTGCGTGGATTTTTCTCCAGGTGCTCCGGTTTTTCCCTCCACATTTAGAATCAACATGCATTTAGCGTATTTGGCTGCTGCTATAAATTTCCACATGATAATAAACCACTTCGTTGCGCTATCATTTGTGGCCAGGTTGCTTCTGAAAAACAGCTATATAGCTTTAAATCAAAATTTAAATAAAAAAGAAATAGCTAGTTAATAGTTAAGTTACGGTGAGGGGAAGAGTCGGTCACTGGTGGTACGGGAGGAGGAGAATCTCGAGCTTGGAGCGCAGCGCGGACAAACCTGGAACTGGAGACGCAGTGCTGATCGCTGGCTGGCACCCACCAGCCTGTGCTCCAACTGGTCCAGCCTGCATCACAAAGGGAGTCATCGCGGAAAAACGAGTCGCGCAAGCGTCCGTATATTCGACGGTGTAAGCAGGGCTGGTTTCCTCGTTGAATATCTGGTAGACTTGGAGGGGGTTGGATCCGCGGCAAATGGCCAAAGCCACTGGCGTGAGGTATACTGGATCTAGTGTGCCGGCCGAAATTAAACCCCCGACTGTATTCCCTGCAGAAAATGTGAAATCCTCAAAGCTGGAATTTAACCAAACTAAGTGTGGAATTTTAATGTGGCAGGTCTATTTATTGTATTTTTTTTTACCAGGCTGAAAGCATTAGAACGCTCTACACTTGAGGACCCAGTTTAATCACGGACAGCTGAAACCCAGATTCAGACCCAGCATTTCAGCGGTACAGTCTCAGCGTAAAAAAAGACACGGCCATTGTGAAACTTCTGAGCGGGTCGCACAAACACCCAGCCCTAAGGCTTGGACTTGGATCCCAGCAGTGATGGCTCAGCAGTTACAGACACAGCCATTATAAACCCCCTGAGCAAAAGACACACCCAGTCCCAGGGCTTGAACTTAGGATCTCAGCAATTCTAGCTCAGTATCTCCCAACATAGCCATTACGAACCCTCTGTAAGTACAACACACCCACTGTCAAACCCAGGATCTGAGTGCCTTCTCAGCATGAAATTCACAGCCATTATGAACCGACTGAAGGAGAAACACACACACCTAGCCCCAATATCTCAGTAGTGTCGTCTCAATATCACCGACACAACCATTCTTATGAACATTCTGAGTCACACACACACTTTCTATTTGCTTCATTGCTGCAATTAATTTTATTTGTTTTGCTTTTTGCAAATGAGACTCAGCGCCTGCTCCCGTGAGTTCTCACCTAGTTCAACAAAACAACAAGAACGTGAATTTAGGCTCAGGATCTCAAGTGGTGTTGTCACAATGGCCACAGACACCAAGACGCTCAAACACCCAGACAAGGGCTCAAACCAAATATTTCAGCAACACAGACATGGCCATTATGAACCCCCTCCACCCCCCCCCACCCCCCCCCCAACTACTGGGTCACCTCTCTCGCGTCTTGCGCAGGTCGTCAAGCAGTCCGCGTTTTTCCAGGCTCATCCATTCCCGCGGCGACTCCATGCCGCCGCCACCACCACCAACGCCGCCACCATCGGCACCGCCGACGCCCCCACCGCCATCATCGCCGCCGTCGTTCTCGCGATCCCCACGCTGCAGCACGCGCTCGTACAGCTGCAGGGGGTTCCAGCCGGTCATGATGTCGTAGGTGATGACGCAGCCAAGCGAGTGCGCCAGCAAGGACGTGCGGCTGCCCTGCGCCACGAAGCCCGGGTTGCGCGAGCAGAAGCGTGCGTGCAGGCGGTTCAGCTCACTCTGCAGCGCCTTCAGGATCTGGGCGCCGCAGATTAAAATAAGATTTTTTTTAAAAATCACCCACGACAAAAAAATTTACCACCACGACGACGGTGCGAAGATAGCGAAGCACGCGAGATGGGCTTGGCCGGAGGGGCACAGCAGCGCTAGACTAGCACTGCTGAGGTCCTAGATTCAGACTGAATGACTCACGGCCGTCTCGTCTCACCCATGCTGCGCTCAGCCACCACATGCATGCTGCAGGTAACAACGCTTACTCCCTTTCTGCTTCTTCCACTCGCACTGCTCCCACTGTGGAATTCCCCCCTTCCTATTGCCTCTTTTCGCAAGCTCTTGGGGCAGGCAAAATGGGAACCGGAGCATTCGGAGAGGAAACCCATGCAAAAACAGGGGGAGAAACAGCCAATCCCCATGCGGAAAAAGGCGCATGAGTCAGGAATCGAACCGTGACAGAGCTATGTATGAATGTATGTTGAACTTCTTTTGCACCGTATGTTGCCAACCGTGCTAATCGGAGGTTCGGGGGAAGGACAACAAACTAAACACAAAAAGCAGTTCTAAAGAAATTCGTTTTTAATCTAGATTTAAGAGTGCATAGCTCCAGTCGATTCATAATATCGAAAAGAAGAGCGTTCCAGACGGCCGAAGTTATTCTGGTTCATGGAATGGATAGCAAAAAGCCGCTGCGAGGATGACTGGAGTTTGCATGAAAAGAGCTGAACCTCAGAGCTGGACCTCAGCCAATATAGGTGCAGAACAACGAATTGAAGGCAGACAGACCTCGTCGCGATACAGAGGGCTGGTGTAGTAGAGGATGTCCATGGCGCTGCTGTTGAGCATGTCCCGCAGACCCCGCACCTTGTCCAGCGTGATGTAGTCCACCGTGTCTACGGCGTCGCCAAACCGCAATGGTGATGAAGACGGCGACGACGATTGTGATGATGTCAGAAACGATGTTGATGACGATAATCACGATGATGATTATGCAAATGATCGTGCTACAGTGATGGTCACAAAATTATGATTACGGCAAGAATAATGTAACGTCGATGTTTAAGATTAGAATTATGATGAAAATAATGAATATGATGATGTATTGATGCTGACATTACAACGATGATGATGAGCATAATGATGGAAACGGTGACGACCACGATGACGATAATATTACAATGATGATGGTAATGAAAATGACAATCATAACAACAACGATGATAATATTACAATGATGATGATAACGATGACGACCGTAGTGACAAAGGTACCACCGTCGAGCTGAAGCTTGGACCTCCACTCGACGGGCAGGAACTCGACGCGTCGCGTCTGGGCCACGACCGGGTAGTAGCGCTCCTCCATCCGCCGCACGGCCTCCCGGATCCTGCGCGGGCGCGCGCCAAACAAACGCCGCCACAAACCCCACGCGCGCAGGCGCGCACCGTCCGTCACCCTCGTGAGATTCAGCCTGGGCTCGCAAAATCACAGCGGAGTCGCGTCGGTGGTCATTTCGGATTTCGTTTCGCCTCCGTGAGACGAGGGGGTTGCTCGCGTGGGGGGGGGGGGGGGGGGGGGTTATCTGGTCGCGCGCGTCACCGCGTTGGCCGGTCCTGATTGACCGATTGGTGAAGGCGGTAGACGGCGTGCAGGCGTTTCGTCTCGTCTGCACCGCGTTCAACTACCACACCAGGTGTCACGTCAACTCACCCGCTCGCCCACAAAAACACAAAGCCTTTGCAAAATTCTTGGAGCGAGCGCCGTTGGCAAGTAGCACCTATGAAGACTGGCACGGCACACGAGGGGGTGGGTGGCCAGCACCACGTCTAGCCGCCTCGTCTTCCGAGTGGTGATATTTATACATCTCACAAGGTAGTTATTTGAGGCCGAGTAAACCTAGGAGAGGCCCAGGACCAGTTCAGATAATCGTCACTGGTGTTGGCCGCCGTAGAGCGGGAATCGAACTAGCTGCGTTTGTTTGGCAGTGTGCAAACCGCTACACTACTACTGTTCCCCATTCACTCACATACACACCCATCATACTGGAGGTCACAATAACACAATCGCTCACTCAACGTCCATACTGCAGGTCAAAATAACATACCCACTCACCAACTCACTCACCTTCTCACCCACCCACCCACTCAACCACTCCCGTCATCTCTTTTCCTCCAAATTCTTACAATAACCTCGCTCAATTCATGAACCTTAATAACTCTGACCGATTATACCTTCAATGGTGCTGCCTGTTGCTGGCCATTCGGCGTGTTGAGCCTTCGGGGCCCTGCGCTTAGCAACCGCGATAAAACGACAACGCACAAGTTCAGCACAAATTATGGATTTCTCTGCACTGTCCTCTGCTGTCCACTACAAAGCGCAGCAGCAGCCTAGAGAAGTGGTTCTCAACCTTGTGTCTTGGCCACTGTTGAATTTTGTTTCAACCGAGTAACCTCCTCCTTGCCTGACCGAACGCTGTTCTGAGAAATAAACGCACGAATAATGAACATCAATGTTTTAACCAATTCTACACTTTGTGAGGTATCCTAACGAGGCAGTAACTGCAAGCGAAAAAATGTACCGACGGTCTGACGTAATTCGATAGCGCTCGCTGGTTAACCTTGGAAACCAAATTGTTTTCCGTCAATTAGTTTAGAAAGGTCTTTATATCGTTGTAGGTTACTCTGTTGATTTACACTTTACCGTATTTATTTTATATTGGCAGATTCATACATGATTATTCCCAAATAACTCTCATTTTATGATATTATTTTGCACATTTTTAAGTCACCTGACGTAGCCCCTGGGAGATTGCCATGTACCCCCAGGGGTCCACGTACCCCCGGTTGAGAACCGCTGGCCTAAAGCAACCTGCAGTATGCATGGTCGTCACCCAACTTAAGCGCTACCCAGCCTCAACCCAGTGGAGCTTCCCGAAATCGGATGCATGCCGGGTGATTTCGTCATAGAGGAGGATGTAGGGGGGTTCAGCCGGGGGTGGGGGGAGGGCAGGGGTGCAGGTCGATCTATTAGCAGCCGTTATCCAAATTCCTGCCAACCCGACCAGAACAGGGGTGGGGGTGGTTGGCGACACACGATGGCAGTGAAGAGGAAACCGGAAAACGAGGGTACAATAAAAACCACAACAACCTTCAACACTTAGCAAGAAGGGGAGCAAGAAGGGGGGGGTGGGGGGAGGCTCTAAAGGCGCTGTCATTGCCGCAAGCCACCGACCCCCGGGCCCCCCACCACGCCCTGCCATGAATTATTTACGAGATTCACACAGCCACTCATTCATTCATCACAGCACCACCTGTGGTACGCACGCGCGCTCCGGCTGTAACAAAGAGTGTTCTAGACGTCGAGAGTGGTGTCTGCGTCTCTCCTTGCGTGTTTAGTTCACTATTTATAAAACGCAAGGTGGCTTTCCGTCACGTAGGTGCCCATCCTGGTACCTGATACCTTCGGAGTCTCGGGCATTTAACACTGGCACCCTAAATCGCAGCATAAAAAAAACACACACACGGGGAAAACGTGCGTGCATCTCCCCATGCTTTTCTGTGCGATATTTAACGTAATTTTCCGAAAGGGACCGGCGGAAATGAACCAGAGGAAATGACTGAAGGGTTTATTTCAGAAAAATGTGGCTGCAAAGTTGGGGCTCGGGATAAATACGAGCAAAAGGAAGGTCATAATTTACTTAATTGTCAAAGGCGACGTTCTAGTGTGCCTAAAGAAGAACACCTGTACCTTAGGAGATAATCGAAGGTGATCAGAAATATATTCAACTTATTTTCCTAGGAAAGGCTCGCTGAAACAAAACTTTCTCAGGAGGGTCCTGGTAGTTTTCTCAGTGGCAGGCGAAGATTGCTATGCGTTTCTCAATCGAGTAATTTGTAATTCACACGTGTATTGACTGTGGGGAGCGGTAGTGTAGCGGTTAGCGCACTGCACTACGAACCCGGCCACCCGAGTTCGATTCCCGCATAAGGCCACCAACACCAGTGACGATTATCTGAACAGGTGCTGAGCCTTCCCTAGGTCGTCTCAGCCTCAAATGAGTACCTGGTGCGGTGTGTAAACAAAGCCACTAGGGAGACAAAGGCGGCCGAGGGTGGTGATTGCCACCCTCCCGCTCGTTTGCCGTGCCACCCTTCATAGGTGCTCGCTAACAGCACTTGCCCTAACAGTCTGCTCAGGCTATATGGGGGATCTTTGACTGCGGTAGTGTACTGTGGTTAGCGCACTGCGCCAAGAACCCGGCGACACGAGTCCGATTCCCGCTCATCACCGATAACGGTGGCGAATATTTGAACCTGTCCTGGGCCTGCCCTAGGTCAACTCAGCCTTAAATGACTACCAAGTGCGGGATGTGTAAACATCAGGAATGGGGTAGACAAAGTCGGCCATTGGTGGTGTTGACAGCACTACCACCGCCACGTGTACCATGCCGGCCTTAATAGGTGCTCATTAACAGCACTTGCCCTGATAGCATGTTAAAGGCTATATAGGGAATCTTTTTTTTTATCTTTGACCGACTGCAAGGTCACGGCGACCCGAATGCCGTTTATCATGTGGCGGCAGATGCAACTTACTAACTAACCATCGGCGTGTAGCGACAAGTTAATTAACGTTGATTACTCGTGATGCGTGCTCCATATTGCGTGGTTAAAGACGGATCGGGGCAGAGAGTACCCCGCCGTGGAGATGGAGTGATTAGATCAACTCGTTTGCCAGAAGCAACCCTGTACATGCATCGGTGCATTGCCAGACTGTGAGATGGCAACGGCTTGGGAAGACCTTCATCTAGCAGTGGATAGAGCGTGGATAATGATGATTACTGTAATGATTAACCACCTACCCCACACCAATTGTCTTGATTCGGGGGGGGGGGGGGGGTCATAATTTTAGTCAGGAATAGATTCCCTTTTTGGCTCACTTGATTAGCCATGACATCTGATAGAGCAAGTGCTGTTATCGAGCACCTATTAAGGTTCAAACTTGATTTGAAGCTTTCATGACTGCAGGAATTACTCTTTGGTTCTTCCGGTAAAGTCACGTAGAAAGAAAATAAATTAAATAATAGAATACGACGTTTCGATTGCAACACAAGCAATCGTCATCAGGTAGAACTACATTTGAGAGAGAGAGACTAAACACAGACACGGAAACACACAGACACACAAGCAGAGAGAGACAACAGAGATGCATATGTTGTGTCTCTCTCTGTGCGTCTCTGCATTGTCTCTCTCTGCTTGTGTCTGTCTGTCTCCGTGTCTGTGTTTAGTCTCTCTCTCAAATGTAGTTCTACCTGATGACGATTGCTTGTGTTGCAATCGAAACGTCGTATTATATTATTTTATTTATTTTCTTTTTACCAGTGACGTGTGGTGAGGTCAATGGCTGGGGAGGCACTGGCTAGTGTCAGAGCCAGATTCACACACTGAGGGGGGCGTCGCCTCACAGAGGGGGGCGTGTCTGACACGTCCCCTTCAGTGAGGCAGATGTGATTGCTGCCTCGCCTGGTGCTTTTTCATTGCAGTTGCATGACGAGACCAGCGAGCCGAAATATCTTTATACACACACGTGAAATAAGTTACCTAGAGTATGGAAGGCGAGGACATGAAATGAAGGGGTCTACAAACATGACATTGGTGACACACTGAGATAGTAACAGGCACGCGCTTATTGCCCGCGCTCCATCCAGTTACTGAGGGGTTGCGCAATCAGAGGGGAGGCTGAGCGCGTCGCTGCCTCACCTCTCGTCTCTTCCTGTATTTGCAGCGGAGCTCCGCAAATTTGGCGATTTTGATGATAAAAATGATTGGAATCGTACAGAAATGACATTTATACCACAGATTTAGTGGGAAAATCGTAATATTTATTGTATTTGATTATTCTTTTTTTTTACTTTTCGTAACAGCTATTTTCATTGGAGTATGAAAGGTGAGGCTCTGCCTGCCCTGCCTCCCCTGACCGCACGTCCCTGCTTTCTACGTGACTTTACCAAAAGAACCAAAGAGTAACCTATTAAGGTTGGTACGACACACGAGGGGGTGGTTTGACCACGAGACAAAGATCCCCCATAAACCCTTAACAAACTTCTGGGACAAGTGCTGTTAGCAGGTATGTATGAAGACCGACACCGCACACGAAGGGGTAGATGGAAAGCACCACACCCGGCTATCTTTGTCTCCTGAATGACGATGCTTTACACACAGCACCAGATGCTAATTTGACACCGAGGGGGGGCCCATGACCGGTTTAGATAATCGTCACTGGTGTTGGTGGCCATGAGCGGGAATTGAACTCTGGTCGCCAGGTTTATAGCGCAGCGTGCTAACCACTGCGTCACCGCTCCTCATATACACATATCAACGTACACACACA